AGGGAGTAGAAGGGAAGCTCTTTGTATGTGTGTGTGTGTGTGTGTGTGTGTGTGTGTGTGTGTGTGTGTGTGTGTGTGTGTAGGGGGGTAAATCCCAGCTGTGTGTTCAGCCTGGGAGTAGAGCAGGCTTGGGTCCCACATAAGGCCTGGTATGTAGCCACCTGCCCACTCCTGCAGGTCATCCTCATGTTGGCTGAGAAGTGCAGCCAGCAGAAACAGGGCAAAGAGGAGGCCGAGCAGCTGCGCCTCCTGCTGTCCCAAATGGAGCAGAACTTCCTGAAGCTACAGACAGACAACCAGACACTGAGGTGCGCTTGCGTGGGGAGGTGCACTTGCGTGGGGAGGTGCGCTTGTGTGGGGTGGAGCAGCCCTCATGACTGCCCTAGAGCCCCAAGGCTTCCCTGTCAGACAAGCTGAGGCCTAGATTTAAGCAGGCTACAGAGGAAGGGCAGAATCCAAGGAAGGGGTGGTATCAGTCACGGCCCTGGGATGGCAGCAAGCTGTTGCCTCATCATGTCCTGGATCAGGAATGAGAAAGAGCAGCTGGAGCAGCAGCTGGAGCAACAGCACGCTACAGCCCAGAAGCTACAGAAGGAGCTGACTGAGGAGCAGAAGGCTCGGGCTAGCCTGGAGATGGTTCTAGCCCAGGCTACCTCCTTCCTACAGGACATTATGCAGGTAAGGGGAACTGGGAGGCTCCAGGAGGGAAGTGGACCAAGAACAGAAGGTGACCTCAAGAAATGTGGCCACTGGGGTCAGGCTTACAGGGTCCTCTTTCCTGGGAGGCTGCTAGCCAGACTCCTTTCCTGAGCTGGCCTGATGGTATGTATAAGCTTATAAATCCAGTTACTAGGGAGGCTGAGGCAAGAAGACTTGCAAGTTCAAGGCCTGAATGAGCCACAGAATGAGTTCAAGGCCAGCCTGGTCAAATCAGTGCCTTAAAAATTATAAAGTAGAGGCCAGGCATGGGGGCGCACACCTTTAATCCCAGCACTTGGGAGGCTGGGGATCCCAGAGGCAGGCGGATCTTTGTGAGTTAGAGGCCAGCCTGGTCTCCATAGTGAGTTCCAGGTCAGCTGGGGTTACAGGAAGACCCTGTCTCAAAAAGATTTAAAAAAAAAAATTGTTTTAAAGTAGAGCTGGAGAGATGGCTCAGCAGTTCAGTACACTTGCTGCCCTTGCAGAGGACTGGAGTTCAATTCCCAGCACCCACACTGGGCTGCTTATAACTGCCTATAACTCCAGCTGCAGGGTACCTGACACCCTCTTCTGACCTCCATGGGTACTCACACCCACCCACACACATACCTAAAAATAAAATAAAAGTTTAAAATATAAAATATCCTAGTCACCACTCATCAAAGAAGATTCTTTTACAACAGACGGAGATTATTACAGAGTTCCACAACTGTCATACACAGAGGTTGTAAATTGCCCAAGCCTAAGTGACACATCTACAATGCAACCTCTACACCCAAGGCTCATGGAACATAGTGGAACAAGGGATAGAGAGAACACTAATGCATCTCTGAACTCTCGTGAGTGACGCGCCTTCATTCTACAGAGGCCAAAGCACAGAGAATAAGGGTCTGCAGTGTGGGGCCTTGGACAGGACTCCTACATTAAACTACACTCACCCAGGGCTCAGGGACCACTGCAGAAGAGGGGACCGAAAGGTTGTAAGAGCCAGGGAGGAGGTATATGACCATATGGAAACAGAGTCCTACAAGCTCCTGGGACCTGGCTCATAGAAACACACAGCAATGGTATCAGCATGCACAAGACCCATGCAAACTCAAGAAGACAAAACCCCAGCACAGAACTGGGGAAATGGGCAGCAGGCCCCAGTCAAAACTATTGACAGTTGATTACTGCTGGGTGAGGAAGAGCTGATCTTCTTAAAGGAGGTGACTCTAGATAGGCTGACTAGATCCCAGTGGATGAACTTGCACTGAGGGACAACTGGGGACACAAACTTGACTTGATAGGCCTTAACACAAATGACAGAATACATAAATTCCAGTGGGGGGGGGCAATGGGGAAGGGGCAAAAAGATGATTAAGATGTTCTATATGAAATACACAAAAATTCAATTAAAAAAATAAAATAAAATAAATTAAGAAAGTAAAAGGAGGCGCTGGAGATCCAGCTCAGTGGTAGAGCATTCGCCTAGCACACAGGAAGCCTTGGGCTCAATCCCCTGCACAGAAAAAAAAGGAGACGAGGAGGAAAGGAAGGGAGGGAGGGAGTCAAGGGCAGAAAACGTCCCTTGAGGTCTCCAAAGAGCTGAATTTCTTCTGTAAAGCTCTGGAAAACTTTGGGCCTCAGTCTTCCCAACCTGACAATGGGTGTCCCACTGAGGACACTGAGAAAGAAGACAGACACTGACATCAGGTGCTCCACATAGAGGCGGGTGGGTGTTGGTACCACTGTGGTCTTTACCCCACCTCACATCTACCACCAGATACGAACAGTGGTGGAGGATGGCAAATTCGACCTGGTGTTCCAGCTGCAGCACAAGGAGATGCTGCAGCAGCTGCTGGCTCTGCTCAGCTCTGCTGTCATCCTGAAACCTCAGCAGGACCTGTGTGACCCAGACCAGGACAGTGAGCCCCACAGCACACCCCAGGAGAGGTGAGCAGGCAGCCCTCTGCTGACCCCGGCCCAGAAGCCTGGCTCTCCAAGAGCTCTCTCAACCTCACCCTCCTCTTGTGAGAGATGGAGGAGATGACCCCAGACCCCTCCCCACAGCTGGCTCAGCACCCAGACACCCAAGGCAGCATCTCTGGTGCAGAAGCTATCTACCATCACCAGCTACCAGCCGGGTGACCTAGGCCTGGTGCCTCGCCAGGCCCGCATCCCACCTAACCCCCATGACCTCAGGTCACTCTCCTATGTTACCCGCATGGGGATCATCAAGTTACAGAACACTAATGAGGTAGAGGTATCAGGGGCCCTGGGGACAGCAAGGTAACAGCTGGCCCTGGATGTGCAGTTGGGGTTCTCCAGGTTCCAGCTGGGTGACTTAAGGGATGCTATGGGCGCTCTCTGAGCCCTACAATCTGTAAAATGGCCTGACAAAAAAGAGCAAGGCCTGTGGGCTAAGGCATACCCAAGTGTCCCCTGGGAAGAGGGCTTGCTGGGTAAGGAAAGGGTAAGACTCCCTGGGGAAGCCTCAGATTTCACAATGGCATCTTTAATCTTGCAGATCTACCCATCCTGCACTCTCAAAAGGTTCAGGAAGTTTAGTCTTCCTAGACCTTTCCTACGCCGCAAGTAGCACGGAGAGAAAACCAATACCTACTCCAGAAATGGAGTGTTCTGGCCACAGTCCATTCTCCATTCTGCAAGTGGCCTGGGGCAACCCAGAGAAGTTATATAAACTGTGGGTATCACATGTGTCCTGCGCTGTCTGTTTCTGGGCTTGAGGGTACCAGCAAGCAAACAGGTGGATGTGTCCACTGGTGTCAGGGGCCCGATGATGGCCCCTGGCTTCTAGCACGAATGTGGTCCAGGAGCAGGTCAGTGGCCCTATCCAGCAATGGGGGCAACAGCACCTGCTCCTCAGGCGAGAAGCAGCTCAGGACGTAGGCCTGGATGGCACTAGGGTGTGTCGGTCGACCGATGCCCACCCGCAGCCTTGGCATTGCCTGTAAGGAGCCAGGGGGACCCAGGGGGCTCTGGTGAGGTACACTGGGAACCCCATGCTAGGGCAGTCCATGCTGGCCACCCCCACCCAGGGCAAGGCAGAGGGGTCAACTTACACTAGAGTTGAGACAGCTAATGCAGGACCGGACTCCGTTGTGGCCCCTTGGAGGGATGGAGGCCCAGTTAGCACTTTCCAAGTCAGCACCCTTCCACCCCCTTCTGCCCAAGCTTCCTTCAGAGTGGCCCAGGCTGGGGAGCAGTCCCACTCCACCCTAAGGAGAGGCCAGCATCCCTCCCCAACCCTGAGCTTGGTGTGTGTGTGAAGGGTCTCACCTGGCACTGCCCCCCAGCTTCAGAGCCAGCTTCCCCAGGGGTTTGTCCAGCTCATCGTGGACCAGGTAGACCTCCTCTGCAGTCAGCCCGAACAGCTCCGCTTGGCACAGGGAACAGCACCGCAATCACTGCCCACGCCCAAAGGGATGTGTTGTGCTGGTCACAACGAACCCCACTCCACACATAAAGAAACTGGCTACAAAGTCCTCGTGCAGCAAGGACTTGTTGAGTCAAGCCCTGGCCCTGTTCCTGGTTCCTGTGCTCTCCCGACCCACCCACTCCTGGAGCCCTCTACTCACCGGCCCTAGCCACGCTGCGCCCGTTGACGTTCATGAGCCTCCGAGGTCGGAGTAGGACCAGCTGAGCATCCCCGAGAGCGGCCAAGGCGAGGTCTGCGGCGCAGCGCGAGTCGCGAGCCCAGCTCTCCGCCACTCCCAGCCGCCGCGCCAGCTGCCCCAGCACCGCCATGCCCACGCTGTGTCGCGTGCCGGGCAGTCCCGGGTTCCCCAGGCCAGCCACCTGCGGGCGATCAAACAAGTCTCAGCATCCAAAGCTGGGATGAGAAGATGGAGAGGAGGGACGGAGTGGGGAAGCGGAGCGAAGGGCCTGGGAAGTCCTGGAAGCTCCAGAAATTGTGTATTTCACACAGAACATCTCAATCTTAATCATCCTAATTTCAAATTAAGGACTGACAAGGCCGGCAAGATGACTTAGTGGGTAAAGGCGGTTGCCGCCAATTCTGACAACCTGGGTTCGAGCCCCGGGACTCACAAGATGGAAGAAACCACATAAAATTTTAAATCTAAAAAAAAACAAAGGAAGAAAACTGACAAGGAACTTGGGAGACTACCCGGGATGTATGGCAGCGGTGGAGCTGGGCTTCAGTGTCCCTACGTGACCGCCCACATCGCACTCACCAGCCACCGCTTTCCCGGGGACCGAAGCTCCGGATCGCACTGGCTGAAGAACCGACTCTGCGGCATCCCGGCGCGGAAAAGGTGAGACGCCGACATGTTGCCCCCATTCATGGCGCGGTCCCCACCCCCTGACGTCAGACAGCCCTAGGCCAGTCACGTAGGCACGTGCCCGGGAATGACTAATCCGAGCTGCGGCCACCATATTTCTGCCGGGCGGAAACAGCGAGCGGTGTCAACGGCGGGGGGATGTCAGCGACGGACCGTCCGGGTGCATTCCGCCGCGCGGCGTCTAGGGTTCCTGTGGGGTTTGTGGGGCACGCCCAGACGCCTTGCTCAGGCTCCGACTCAGGAGCACCAGCCTCATTAGGCCCCTGAGACGCGCTTTGCCCTGGAAATCCCGCAGGTTCTTTCTGACGTAGATCTCAGCTTCCCGAGCTAATCAGTTTTCTATCGACTATTGGATTTCGGAGGTGTGGCCAAAGGGGCGGAGCCTGTTGGCATCCTGGAGCCGGTGCCTAGCAACGCGGGAGGCTGGGGGCCTGGAGCCCAAGGAGACCGCCAAGGACGGAGGTCCACCTGGAAGGTGCCTCATGACAGACCCCCACGAGGTGCGGGCTTCAGAGGGCAGGGTCGCAGAGAAGGCCGGCGGAGACAGGGCCAGAGGGGACGTGGTGCCTACAAAGAGTCCAGGACTTGTAGGAGGGGACGAGGATGGCTGGCCGCCCAGTCCCAAATGGCTTTGACCCGGATGGGGACAATAGAAAAGGAGCAAGTGGAGAGATTTGTTTTGTTTTGAAGACACTATGTAGCCCCGGCTAGGCTGGAACTATGTAGACCAGGCCTTGAACTCACAGAGATCCACCTGCCTCTTCCTCCTGAGTACTGAAATTTAAAAGCATGTGCCACCACACCTGGCCTAAGCAGAGAGATTTTGACAAAGTGAAACAGGACTCGAGGACTGATGGGACATGGGTCTCTGGCTCTCATGGTGATGGGAAAGGTGATGGGTGATGGGAAAGGACACAGAAGTCCCGGGGAAGAAGTTGGGTGAGGAGCTTGCTCAATGTGTACTGCTGGGCCTGAGAGGAACACCAGGATGTGGATGTGGGGCAGTGTCTGAGGTGGGGGTGCTGAGAACTGTGGGTACAAGGTGAGAGCAAGGAGAGCCCAAGTGGAGAAGAGAGGATGAACTCTCATCCCTAACCTTGACCACAAGAGAGGGAGAAAAAGGCAGGGCTAGAGAGAGGTTAGAACATGCCCTAAGGGGCCGCCTCCCACCAAGTGACTTTTCCACCCTCCCCGACTAGGCAAAGTACCTGGTGAAAGTGTAGATGTGGGGTAGGGTTGGCCCTGAGGCCTGCCACCACAGCTTGCTGTTCCTGGCTTGGTTTTAGGAGCTTGACAATACCCACTCACAGAGAATCCCCAGGCCATGGTTGATCCAAACCCCACCAGATATCATACAACGCATCTTTGGGACCAGCCAGGTGTTCTACAGCATGGACTCAAAACCAAGGACAACGGAGTCAACAGTACCTTTCAAAGTCAGAGAGTAGTGAGTGACTGCCTTGTTCCTGAGCTCTGATTCTGCCCTATGCAGTCATTAATATGGAGTACAGCCTTGAGCTGGCTGCCATCCCTCTCTGGGCCTCAGTAAATACTTAAGGACCTCTTCTCAGAAGATAAAGGGCTTGGGGCTGGGAAGATGGCTCAGCAGTTAAGACCACTGGCTGCTCTTGCAGAGGACTGGGAGAGTCCACATGGCAGCTAACAACCATCCATCTGTAACTCCAGTTCCAAGAGGATCTGTTGCTATCTTCTGACCTCCATGGGCATTGCACAATACAGGTGCACTTACACACCCACAGGCAAAACACTCATACACATAAAATAAAAATAATAAGCCAGGCATGGTAGTGCATGCCTTTGGCCCCAGCACTCAGGAAGTAGAGGCAGGCATATCTCTGTGAGTTCTAGGCCAGCCTGGTCTACATAGCGAGTTCCAGGCCAGCTGGAGCTACAGGGAGACCCTGTCTCAAGAAGACCAACAACAATAAAATAAAATAAAAATAATAAAAATATTTTTTAAAATCAGACAGAAGATAAAGCCAGGCATGGTGGCACATGCCTTTAATCCCAGCACTTGGGAGGCAGAGGCAGGAGGATCTTTGTGAGTCTGAGGCCAGCCTGGTCTACATAGTGAGTTCTGGGACAGCTGGGGCTACAGGGAGACCCTGTCTCAAAAAGAAAAAAAAAAAAAAAAAACCCAACAACAACAAAAGATAAAGGTTCATGTCCTGGATGAGCTCCAAGAAGGCCAGCCTGCCTTCCCTGGCACTCTGCCTACCCCTCTAGTCCCTGTACCCCAGTACCCACCTTTTCCCACCTACTCCACGCCATCCCTTGAAAAATGCCCTGGGCTAGCCCAGAATCAAAACCAGCCCCTCTGCCTTGCCTTATTCTCCTGCCCTCATAGCTACCACCAAGGCCATCAGTGCCTTGAGCAAGAAGACTGGGAGATGGCTGTGGTGTTCTTCTCCCGTGCCCTCTACCTAGACCCCAAGCTGGTAAGAGGTGGGCTTAAGTAAACACTGGCATCCACTGGCTGGCATATTTTGCCTCTTCCCTCACTGTCACATCTGTTGGGTCCCTCAGGACCACCAAATTCCTGCTAAGCCTTGGGAGAGGTAGAGTCCTCTCCCTACCCAGAGGAGCAGGTGATAGGGGGAGAACAGAAGCCTGGGTCTCTGCACCCTCAGGTGGACTTCTACGTGTTCCGTGCTGAGGCCTTCATCCAACTTTGCGACTTCTCCTCTGCTGCCCAGAACCTGCGCAGGGCCTACTCCCACCAACCAGACAATGTCAAGTACCTGGAGAGGCTGGTCTTTGTCCTTTATCTGCAGGTGCTTGGACTGCCCCCACCCATAGGGGGCTACACTCATCTCACACCCAACCACTGGCTTGCCCTCCAGCTGACATGTGTGCCCCCCACACTAAATAAATGTAAGAAAAAAAAAAAAAAAAACACTGGGCTGAGCATGATGGCTCAGGCCTACAATCCCAGTACTCCAGAGGCTGAGGCAGGAAGATTGTCATGAGTTCAAAGCTAGCCTGGGTTACATAATTCCAGGCCAGGATGTGCTACAATGTGAAACAATCCAAAAAACAAAGACTGGGGCTAGAGAGATGGTTCAGTGGTCAGTTCATGTTCCCAGCACCCACGTGGCAGCTGTCCTAGTTTGTTTCTCCATTGCTGTGACAAAAATACTCTGACCACTACCAACTTGGGGAAGAAAAGTTTTATTCAGCTTACATTTCCCAGGTCAGAGTTCATCAGGGAGCCCAAGATAGGAACTCAGGGCAGGAAACTGGAGGCAGGAGCTAGAGCACAGGCCATGGAGGAATGCTGCTCTCCTGGCCCCTACTCAGCCTGCTTGCTTATACAATATAGGCCCACCTGCCAGAGGTGACACCGCCCACATGGGCTGGGCCCTCCCACATCACTCAATCAAGAAGATGCCCCACTGACATGGCCACAGGCTAATCCAATGGAGGTAATTCACCAATTGAGGCTCCCTCTACCCAGGTGTGTCAAGTTGACACTAAAGCTATCCAGCACAGCAGCTAACAACCATCCATACCTCCAGTTCCAGGTGCTCCAACGCCCTCTTCTGGCCTCCATAAATATTGCAGCCACAGGTGCACTTACATACATGCAAGCAAAACATTCATACACATAAAATAAAAATAGTAAAATCTTATAAAAAAGAGGAAGAGGAGTTGAGGGGAGCACTGGAGGTGCCCAATTGAAGTTATTGTTCAATCTGCCTGTGCCCTGAAGTCTCACTCCCTGTGTGACCTTGGGAAAGTCACTTCACCTCTCTGAGCCCTTTTTCCTTCATCTGAAAGAGGGATGCTTGTAAATGCCAGGGAGGTGGCAACTCCAGGCTCTTGACCTGGGGCTCTGCTGTTCTCGTCTGCTTTTCTAGTTGCCGCCTCACGTCTCTGTACGGCTGTCTGTCACTGTGTGTGTTCTTCAGTGCTTACTGCTGTCTCTACTCAGCTCTGCATCTCTGTCCCTTTCTGCCTCTTGAAGTCTCCCTCACATCTAAAGGGCTCTGTGTATGTCTCTGCCAACTCTTGGGTGCAGCTGGACTTGAGTTCTAAGCAGAACTGACAATCCATCATCTCCCAGGGCCAATGTCTCTATGAGCAATGTGACTTCCAGGCCGCCCTCAATGTCTTCTTGCAAGCCTCTGAGCTCCAGCCCCAGAACCCCTCCTTCCGTTATCGAAGGTGAGTGCAAGGCCAGCCCTTCCTCTCTCCCAGCAGCCCCTACCATCACCCCCCACAGGCTGAGAGCACTTCCTCCCTTTGCCCCCAGCATGGCCTGCCTGCTGGCCCTCAAGAAGCATCAGGACTGCCTGGCATGCATCACCAGGGAAACGAAACAGGGCAATGTCAACACTGATGTCTACATCCTTCGGGCCCGGATCTACAACTTCTTCCAGAAGGTATTACAGAATGGTGGGTCAGGTGTGTGGCCTTCCCCCAGACCTGGGAGACCCCAGCATGCCCCAAGATTACAGGAGGAAGCAAGGCTGTCAGCTGGCTGGAAGTCCTGTCCCTGTATGTCTGCACAATGCCACTACCCTGCCCACAAAGATAGGTGTCCATCATCACTCAGCCCCAACTCTGTGCCAGACCTGTGCTGGGCCCTATGGGAATCACAAGGTGAGAGAGTCATGTCATCCCTGTCCCTCTGGAGTGCTTGGCCAAGGCAGGGTTTCTCCGTGAACCTGGAGCTAACAGTGATTTCCTGTCTCTGCCTCCAGGAATGCAAAACCCAACCTGATTTTACCCAGGTTCTGGGGTTCCAAACTCCAGTCCTCACCCTTGTGTGGCAAGTGCTTTACCCTCAGCCATCTCCCTCACCTCTATGGAGTGATTTGACCATAGCTGTGTGGGGAGGAGCCATGGGTGCACCCAGAATACCATTAGATACAAGGCAACTCTTCCCCTCCCCTTCCTTCTTTCCCATTTGTGCAGTGAACCTGTTCTAAGCTCCTCACCTCCCAGCTGGGCTGAGCGTGGAGACAGAGTGCAGGGAATGGCTTGGGGATGATGGGACGCAAGGTCCCAGGGAGGGGGTAGAGCAGAGTGTGGCCAGGGAGGAAGAGGCTACAGAGTAGTGGGTCTCCAGCTCTTCCCCAGTAGGGTGTTCCCTAGGGCAGTGGGCTCTGGGAGACTGGTTCCAGCTTCCCTGCGGACTGTGGATAAGTGCCCTGGAGGCCTAGGGGGGAGGCAGAGTACGAGAGGATGGGGTGAGGGGTGTGCACCATGGTCCTTCAGAGGCTGGATCAGAGGCTGATGGAATCAGCTGTGGGGAGAGGGAAGGTTCCAGAACAGTGTGCAGCTCTCTGGCTGTCCTGGGAGATGGAAACTGGCTGGTAGGGACAGGATAAGGGTGATGACAGGTAGAGAGGGAGAGGTGGTTCACCTCATTTCACCAGGCCAGCAGGGGATCTCCAGCTAAGTAAGGATATCCAGGCGGGTTCTAGCTCAGCCCGAGGCTAGGCTTCAGTGTTCTGCAAGTCACTTAGTGGCAGTGTCCTTCAAAGGTGGGAGATTGCTCATCATCACTATTTATTGCTGACTCTGGCCTCCTCCCGTGCCCTGTGTCTGTTCTGCAGAGGGGTGGAAGCTTTGGAGGAAGTGAAGCAAGAAGCAGTCCAGGGGCCACTTGCCCAAGGCCACAGAGCCAGTTGGGCCTCCAGCCCAAGTCCTGCTCCAACTTCAGCCATGCCCTCCACGCCTGCCACCCTTCCATCCCGGACTCTGCCTATTTCCTCTCACACCCAGTGCCCAGTCCTTGCTGTTCATCCACCAACCAATTACCTGCAGAACAATGGGGTGCTTGCTAAGACTGTTGACTGACTGGCCAACCTGCGCACCCAGTGGAAGGCATTTGCCTGGGGATGTTTTCTGAATCTGTTCTAGGTCAGAATTGTTAGATTTTGGGGGGAAAAAGGAAAGAGGAGTAGGAGACAAGAAACCAGACCCAGACCTGCAGCAGGCAGGGAATAGATCTTCCTGTATTCAAAGAAGATACAGTGAGAGGTAGAGGCTGTCCGTGGGAGCCAGGCATCTACAACCAGACAAAGAAACCGGGTGTTTTTATACCAAAGTTGTGAGACACAGCTACACTTTGTGGGGAGTTGAATTAGTGCATGGGTTTGGTGTCCTTGAGGGTCTCTTTTCTCAGACAGATGGGTGACTTATCTATGGCACTAAAGGACACAGGTGGGCTCCACAAACAGTCTCTCTCAGTCCCGGGAGTGACCAGTTGATAAGGCTTGAGCAAGGCCAGGCTTGAGTAAGGCCAGCTGCCAATTTAGGGCTCCCCCTAATAAGGCTTGTGGCTCTTCTGCAATTCACATATTCTATCAAGAGTTATCTTGAGCTTAAAGGAAGGGCAGTGGAGGAAGGATGGGGGTATTCAGTAGTCACAGGAGGGGGCTGGAGAGATGGCTCAGTGGTTAAGAACACTGGTTGTTCTTGCAGAAGACCCAGGTTCGAATCCCAGCACCCACATGGCAGCTAACAACTGTCCATAACTCCAGTTCCAGGGGATCCGACGGCCTCGTCTGTCTTCCTCGGGCATTTCACAACACGGGTGCACTTACCTACATGCAGGCAACACACGCATACACATAAAATAAAAATAATAATAAAAAGTCACAGGAGATCACACACTACTGCCCTCCACCTCAAATGAATCTTGCAGGACTCCTGGGAACAGACAACATTGGCACAAGTCACTGAGGCCAACCTGCCCCACCAAGGTTACACCTGGAAACAAGCCCAGCAAGGTTGAGGCTGGAGTGGGGGGGGTGAGGGGGCGATTTTTCCCACAATGCCTCCTGCCTCATTCAAGAGGCAAGAAAAGTGGGAAAATGATCCAGGGGACTCAGCAGAGGAATGGTGTGGTGTGGGCTTGTCACCTGGAGGCCTGCCCTCCTTTACCCTGACTGGGACAGTACCACCCACCCCATGCCACCTTTTACCCTTCAGCCGAAGCTCTGCTATCAAGACCTGCGCAGTGCCTTGCTGTTGGAGCCCAAGCACCCACAGGCCAAAGGGCTGCTCCAGATGATGGTGGACCAGGCCCAGCAGGCCTGCCAAGATGCCAGCATCCTGGCTGTGCAGGGCAGGCTGCAGCGAGCTCTGAAACATATCAACTGTGCCATTGAGAACAACCCCCTAGATCCCAGCCTCTTCCTCTTCTGGTACCAGGGTGGGGAGGGGCTGGTCTTCCTTGTAGATACCTGCTGTGTGGTCTCAGCCTGACTCTCCCCAGACCTCAGTTTCTCCATCCAACCCCTAATACTCTTCACCTGCTTCCTACCAGGCCACAGCACCATGGAGATGGTCTCAGTCACTTCTTCCTGAACATAGGGCTGGAGGGATGGCTCAGAGGTTAAGAGCACATACTGGTCTTGCAGACTTGAATTTGTTTCCCACATGGGGCAGTTCACAGCTGTCTGAAACTCCAGCTCTGAGGGACCTCAGGCCTCTGGCCTCTGTAGGCCCCTGCGCTCACATGCACAAACCCATACTTGCACATACATAATTAAAAATAATGGGTGTGGTGTGCACAATTAATCCCAGCACTAGGGAAGCAGAGGCAGGCGGATCTCTGTGAGTTCAAGGTCAATCTGGTCTACATAGTGAGTTCCAGGCCAGCTGGGGCTAAATAGTAAGACCATGCTTCAAAGGGTGGGCAGTGGCCTCCAACTACATGCCAGACATGGGGGTGCTTTGGCCCTGTGTGTCTCTCTCTGCTACCGGCTATGCCTGCCACCATAGGGGCACCTTGTACCGACGGCTAAAGGAATTTGACCCCGCGGTGGAAGACTTCCTGAAGGCGCTGGACATGGTGAGTGACAGCCAGGACCACCTGGTGAAGCAGGCCCAGCGCCAGCTCCTGCTGACCTACAACGACTTCGCTGTGCACTGCTACTCTCAAGGGGCCTACCAGGAGGGTGTGCGGCTGCTGAACAAGGCGATCAAGGACAAGCAGAACGAAAAGGGCCTGTACATCAACCGTGGAGGTGAGCCAGGGGATGACCAGCAGGCCCTTGCCAACTCCAGGCCCATCAGACTGGGGGGCACTTGTGCTTGCCTCCCAAGGGAGGCAGTGCTTGGACAAAATTGCTACAGTGTCAAATTCTCAGGTCAGGCAGCTGGGCAAATGTGCTCAGGCACACAAAAGACTAACCACAGTGTCAGAGCCACCTCCCTGTTCCCAGCCTGGGGCTGCAGCAGGCTGGGCTCGAGCTGCTGAACACGGGGTAGTGGGGGCACACTTAGCCCTTGCTCTCCGGCCCTAGATTGCTTTTTCCAGATGGGCAACCTGGTCTTTGCGGAGGCGGATTACAAGCAGGCACTGGCGCTAAATCCTCAGGATGAGGGGGTCAACATACGCATGGGCATGTTGCAGGAAAAGATGGGCTTCTGCGAACAGACTCATGGGTGTGTGCCACTGGTGGGGTGGAAGGGTGGGCAGCCCACAAATACTTTTTCTGTCCTGATTATTGCAATTATCACACTTTTTATGAAAAACTTAAATATTCAGTAATAATATGAATATTATTCAGAATGTTTTATTTCCAAGGTCTACTCCCCACTCTCCTCCCTCTAAAGTTTCCTCCAGACTTTCCTAGGTACACATGTTAACCATTACTACTTTGCAAAAGTGGGAGCATGTGAAACCACGGGGTGGTTATTCGTGGCCCTGAGGGCACATGCTGGGCAGGTGCTCTACTGCTGAGCTACAGCCCCAGCTTCCAAACCATCCCTACACAACACATGATGACTGCAGTGTCTTTTATTGATGGCACTGTAGTCTGTTCTGTGGAGATACAATAGATTTCTGTAGACTCCTCTACTGACACATGCTGGGCAGCATCCAGGATTTTCCTGACTGACGCCGTGGGCTCACCTAGGACATGTCACCATGCACTCATGCTGGGAAAAGTGTGGGATCGATTCCGGAAAGCTAACTTCTTGGTTTAGTGTCAACATTTAACTTTTTTAAGTTATTTATTGGGGGAGGGCACAGATGGAGGTCAGACGACAACTTGTTGGACTTTGGACTTGGTTCTCTCCTTCCACCATGTGGGACTGAACTCAGGTTATCAGACTTGGCAGCAAGCACCTTTGCCCACTCAGCCATCTTGCTGGCTCACATTTAATTTTTAAAAAATATTTTATTTATTATTTGTATTTTATGTGTATGAGTGTATTGCCTGCATGTATGTAAGTGCACCCATGTAGTATAATGCCTATGGTGGTCAGAAGAGGGTGTTGGATCCCCTGGAGCTGGAGTTATGGACAGTTGTTAGTCACCATGTGGGTGCCAGGAACTGAACCCAGGTCCTCTGCAAGAACAGCCAGTGTTTTTAACCACTGAGTCATCTCTCCAGCCTCACATTTAAATTTTATGAATGTTTTCCAAAAACAGAGAAGCGATTTAAGCTTTCCTGAGGAAGAGAGTCCCTTACTTTCCCCATATCCTTTCTGTCAGCACCAGGCCATTAACTCTGCTAATTCAAAAACAAAGAAGAGGGAAAAAAAAAAGTGCTCTCAGATGGTGTTTTTGTTTTGTTTTGCTTTAGACAGGGTCTCACTGTGAAACCCTGTGTGGCTGGCTTAGACTTCACTATGTAGACCATACTGGCCTTGAACTCACAGAGAGCGATCCGCCTGCCTCTGCCTCCAGAGTGCTGGGATTAAAGGTGTGCAACCATCATGCCCAGCCAAGAATTATTATTAGTTTTTGGCAGTATTGGGGTTTGAACCTATGGCCTTGTACATGCTAGGCAAACACTCTACCATTAAGCTACATCCCTGGTCCCTCAGATTGTTTATGCAGCTGAATTGCTAAAGCAGCCCAGCATCTTCTAAGTGTGTGGTTTTTCTTTTTGTTGTTGGTTGCTTTGTGTGGTTTTTTTTTTTAATATTTTATTTATTTATTTATTTTGGTCTTTTTGAGACAGGGTCTCCTTGTAGCCCCAGCTGTCCTGGAACTCACTATGTAGACCAGGCTGGCCTTGAACTCACAGAGATCCGCCTGCCTCTGCCTCCTGAGTGCTGGGATTAAAGGCGTGCACCATCATGCCCAGCTTACTTATTATTTTTATTTTATGTGTCTGAGTATATTGCCTGCATGTACGTGAGTGCACCTGTCATGCAATGCCTTGGAGGTCAGAAGAAGGCTTCGGATTCCCCTGGAACCGGAGTTAAGGATGGTTCGTAGCTATCATGTGGGTGCTGAGAATTGAACCGAGGTCCTCTGCAAGAGCAGTTAATGCTCCTAACCACTTAGCCATCTCTGGCAGTCTCACACTGTAGTCCAGGCTGGCCTTGAACTCAAGACAGTCCTCTCACCTGTCTCCTCAGTGTTGGGATTGCAGGTTAAGCCACCACACGCCAGCTCTTTTATGTGTTCATTAGCCACCATGACCTGCCTAAATCTTTTGCTCATTTTGCTATTTAAATGATTAATTTTTTTATTGAGAAGTCTTTTTAAAATTTATGTGTATGGCATCTTCTTGATGAATGATATAGGAGGGCTCAGACCACTGTGGGTGGTGCCACCCCTGGGCAGGTGGGCCTGTGCTACATAAGAAAGCAGGCTGAGCAGGGGCCAGGGGAGCAAGCCAGGAAGCAGTGTTCCTCCATGGCCTGAGCTCCAGGTTCCTGCCCTGAGTTCTTACCTTGGGCTCCCTGTGACCTGGGAGATGTAAGACAAATAAACCCTTTCCCCCACACCCCCCCAAAAATTTATGTGTATGAGTGTTTTGCCTGCATGTATATAGGTACACCCATATTGTACAACATTTGCAGAGGTCAGAAGAGGGTATTAGATTCCCTGGAACTGGAGTTAAGGGTGGTTGTTAGCTGCTACGTGGGTGCTGGGAACCAACCCTGGGTCCTCTGCAAGAGCAGCCAGTGCTCTTAACAGCTGAGCCATTTCTCCATCCGTACTGTGGGAAGTCTTTATATGCTAAGAATATTATTTTCTACTGTATAAAGGTATATTTATCCTATATATTTGTGTGTGTGTGTGTGTGTGTAGTGCTAGGGATCAAATATATAGGGCCTTGCGCATATAAGCAAGTACACTGCCACTGAGCTCCATCCCCAGCCAATGTGCATCGCTTTTCTTTGTGGTATTGCAGTATTTTTGCTACTCAGTAACTTGCCATTTTCAATCATAGCCCAGTTATTCTTTTTGTTTTTAGTTTTTATTGTTTTCTTGGGGGAGGCAAGGTTTCCCTGTGTATCCCAGGACCTACTGTGTATCCCAGGTTGACTTCAAACTCATAGACATCCTCCTGAGTGCTGGAATGACATGTGTGCATCATCATGCCCAGCTCTAATCTCATGTTTTTGCTTCTGGGTTTATGACTGTCTTAGGCCTTCCCTACCATAAGGTCATTAAAATGTTAGCTTGCAGGACTGGAGAGATGGCTCAGTGGTTACAAGGACTGACTGCTCTTGCAGAGGACCCAGGTTCGATTCCCAGCACCTACATGGCAACTAACAACCATCTATTAACTCCAATTCCAGGGGATCTGATGCTTTCTTCTGACCTCTGAGGCATTGCACGACATAGGTACACTTACATACATGCAGGCAATATACTCATACACATAAAATAAAAATAAAATATTTTAAAAATGTTATTAGTTTGCACCAGGATTTCCTACCAGCATCAAAGTGTTGGGTCCATCATGTCATGGGGGGTAGGAGGGTATGGGAGGAGGAAGGCAGAGGCCCCTGGTTGTCTTCCAACTCCACAGTAAGGCCCAGGAGCCTCCACCTCTTGCAGGCCCAGCTCATGGTGGCCCTGGGCTTATTGTATCCTTCAGGCAGTTCCAAAAAGCAGAAGACCACTTCTCAGTGGCCATTAAGCACAATCCTGAGAAAGCCCAGTACTACCTGCACCGGGCCAGGAGCCGACAGCTTCTGCAGAACCTTTTTGGGGCCCGCCAGGATATGGCCACTGTGCTGCTCCTGAACCCCAACCAGCCAAAGGTGGGTTCCTGCTGAGCCAGGGGGGCTGGCGAGCAGAGAGGAGTGAGCACGCCAGCCACTCACCAGTTGCTCCTATCCCTGAAAGAAACCTGGCTCAGGATTGTTCCTGATGCTGGCACTTCCTATGAGCCAGCAGTTGTCAGCACCTCAACTCCCACCACTCCCTTTACCCCTCCTTCCTCCCTCTGAGTCCAAGAGAGTCAGCATCACTCCATAGGTGCAGAGTGAGGCTCAGAGGTTCCTGTGCCCCAGGTCCTGAAGCTCAGAGGTTCTGACTGGCTCCCAAACCCATGGTCATGCTCCCTGTTAGGGAATGGTCCCTTTCTCATGGTCCCCTCCCATTTGGGGGTAAAAGACCCAGCGTAGAAGCAGTTTGCAAAAGCCTCCCATGTTTCTCCCTGGGAGGGCAGCACCAGCCCTCTGCCACTCTTCTGACTTTGGTCACCCCTTTCCTGACAGGTGATGCCACTGATGACCAACCTCTTCCCTGGCATGACGGTGGAGGAAGTGCTGGGAAGCCAGGTGGCCCACCTGGCCAAACTGCAGCTACGTCAAATGGTGGAAAGCGGCCCTAAGGCCAGCTACCCTCAAAGCATTGTGGCGTAAGCATCTAGAGCAGGGACCTTGGGCTAGGGGTGGAGGCCGGTGGGGACTCAGACTCATCGGTTCCAGCTGCCTCCTAAGTGGCATTCCAGATACCGACTGATCCTGGGCTGTGACTTGGCAGGCAACGGTTAATGGAGCGCCAGAAGGCCCAGGCCCTTCTACAGCAATTCCAGAGGTATCAACAGCCTTTCCCTGAGATCCCGGAAGAGCCAGAGACTGTCTCCGGGATCCTGCAGGAAAAGCTGACAGGCCTGGGGGAGAAGGATGAGGGAGAAGAAGCAGAGAAAAAGGTGAGTGGAACCCATGCTATGGCCTGAGGCCCTCGGAGTCTGAGGTAGAGGCTGGCTGGGCCTGGCCCATCTCACCATGAGGTGGAGAGGCTCAAGCAACAGATGCCCCATGAGTGAGGTAGAGGAAAACAGACACACAGGTCCATGCTCACACAATTCTGCTGGTGTCACCAGCCATTTGCACTGGACTCTCCTTACCTCATAATTGTTTCTAAAGGCTTTTTATTAACTATAGCATATGTATAGAAAAGCGCACAATTCCTGTGTGACTGGGGGGGGAGGGTATGTGCCAGTGCATATGCCCATATGGAGATCACAGGAGGATGCTGGGTATCCTTCCTTCTCTATCAGTTTTGACTTTATCCCTTTGAGAATAATAAGCAAGACCCAGAAATCCCCGTCTCTACTCCCTCCAGTCCTGGGGTTGGTTTCAGGTACATACAGCCATGCCCAGCTCATGCATGGGTGCTGGGGAGCTTTACCCACTTAGCTATCTCCCCAGCCTGTTTGTTTTTGATTTAGTGTCTTGCTGTGTAGCCTAGCTGTCCCAGAACTCCTTATGTAGCCCAGGGTGGCCTCATACTTTCAGCAATCCTCCTGCCTCAGTTTCCAGAGTGCTGGGATTACAGGCATGAGCCACCCTGTAACCCAGTTTATGAATGCACAATCTTAAGTGAATTTTCACAAACTGAATATGCTATGACCTCATCACCTGGGTTAAGGAACACATTCTCAGCTCCCAAAAGCCCCTTTGTGTACACCATCTCCTAGGCCCCTGTCCTGCTGCACACTCAAGGCTGTCCCAATTGCTACCTGCATATGTGAGGTTCACCTTTTCCTCATATAGATGGACAAATGTGGCAGGCTGTCCTGTCTGATTCCTTTCCCTAGCTCGCATTCATGAGATTCACACGTGTTGCTTCTTACCCTGTTCATCGACCAATCCTGCTAACAAATGTCAAATAAGTTGGTATTCAAAGGCAATGTTATACTGCTGAAGGGACTGCAATACCAGTGTCGAACTCCTAGTTCAAATTAAATACAGAACAAAAGTACATCTGTGTGCCTCTGAAGTCACACAGCCCTGTGGGTTCCATCTCTCAGGAAGATGTTGAGATGCGTGCAGCACAGAGCCCAGGGCCCAACGCACCAGGCGCCTGATGCATTCTATGCCTTCTGCTTGACCTGTTTATCCCCCTCCCAGCCTGCAGCTGTGACCATGAGCAGAGGAGGCAGAGAGTCCAATGGATTCAAACCTGCTCTCCTCAGCTAGTGACCCCTGCACGTTGCCCGGTGCTTGGAGACTTGATTCCTTGGACTAGCAGAGGGAGGATGAAAGAGGATAAAATGGGAGTTTTCCTCAGTGCCTCACTGCCATTCCCCAGAGCTCAGCACTTTACAGTTTACAGAAGCCCAGCTCCCATGTGAACCAATGTTCATCTTGCAGAGGGAGGAAATGGAGCCTAGCAGGGCCCAGAGCCTTACCTTTCTACAGACATAATGTCCATCTAGCCTGGCCAATCCCCTTCCTGAGGTCTCAGCTCCCAGGTGTTCCCACCCACTCTAACCTAGTGTCCGTGAGGAACTCTAAGCTTGGGAGAGATTGCTGGACTGAAACTAAAAAAAAGGAAAGAAAGAAAAAAAAAGAGGAGAGGCTAGAGAGATGGCTCAGCACTTAAGGACACTTACTGCTCTTGTAGAGGAATTTTTGTTCCCAGCACCTACATCAGGTGGCTCACAACTACCTCTAACTCCAGCTCCAAGGGATCTGATGCCCTCTTCTGGCCTGTGTAGGCACCTGCACTCGTGTATATCCCCCTATCCCTAAACACCACACCCCCACCCCCGATCACATGCATACACAATTATAAAATAAATATCAGGAGGCAGATCTTTGTGAGATTGAGGACAGCCTGGTCTACACTGTGAGACCCTATCTCAAAAATAAATGAAATAAGAGGCTGGAGAGATGGGTCAGCAGCTAAGAGCACTGGCTACTCTTGCAGAGGACCCAGGTTCTGTCCTCAGGATCCACATGGCAGTTAATAACTGTCCATAACTCCAGTTCCAGGTATCCAACGCCCTCTTCTGTCCTCCATGGGCATTGCATGACATGGGTGCACTTATATACATGCAGACATAACACTCATATACATAAAATAAAAACAATAAGTAAAATATTTAAAATAATAATAGAAATAAAACCTTTAAAAGAAAGATTGCTGGACAGATCCAGAATTTGCTGGCCTTTCAGACACGTGGCTGCTGGTCCAAGGGCTTTCCAGTCTGCAGTCATCCAATCTGTTTCTTGCCATAGGTCAAACAGGGACTTTCATCTCACAGGGTGACATCCCTGACTGACAGCTATGTGGACCAGACCTCCTCAGGCTCAGTCTTCAGCAGTAAGTGCCCAATGTTCCTACTAGGCCTAGTGGACCAACACAGAGTGGCCAGAAGGCAGAGGTCAAGTCCAGTATGACCTTGGGATCCTCCAGGGATAGCTTTGATTCTAGGGAAGTGACTCTAACTGGAAAATAACAGTCCTACAGGGAACTAAGCGGGATGATGCCCAGCACAAGGCAGGGACTGAAGTCACTACCAGGCTCCTCAGCTGTTGCTGATCCTCCCTTATCCTTCCCAGCCTGCTGCTTCTCTCTCTGCCCCTTACTGTCCCCAAACGGAGCCACAAACCCTGTGTGTATCCAACAAGTTTTGACCCCCAATTTTGCTGTCACCAGCCAAGAGAGGACAAAAGGAAAAAGTTAGAAAGCTGCTCCCCAGCGCCCCCTGGTGTGTGGTGGCAGCATTAGCTCCCTTCCTTCCATTAGGAATCATCCAGAACTGCACTGTGGTGCCCCAAGTTCCCCTGGACAGGTCTGTGCCCTGATACCTGTGGCAGGGATGAGGTGACCCAGTCCTTGCCCTCAGGGAACAGTCAGTACAGCCAGTTAGATACACAGAAGTGGGGCCCAGAGGGCAGGAGTATCATTAGCCCTTTCAAGTGGTCAAGGGGGGCTTCAAGGAGCTGAAAGAGTAGGAACTAGCCCCCTGTGGTAAGGGGATGAGCAGGGTGTTGCTGGGGCCACGGGCGGAGGCCTCCAGGAGCTCAGAGGGCAGGGGTAGCCAGAGGGGAAGCCTGGAGTGGGCCAGCGGGGCTTGGCACCCCTGGCACAGAGTTAGGGGGCCTGGTGGGAGCTGGCAGTCCTTCCCCTCTGGCCATACAGAGCATTAGGAACATAGGCTGGAGGAGGCCTGGAAGCTCCTACCTGCTGGAGCTTCCCAGGACAGGTGGCACAGGCCTGATGGCTGCTCTTGGCACACACCCCCAGTGGACAGCATTGGCACCTCAGAGGTGGACATGTCCACCAGCCAGGAGTACAGGAGCACCTCCAACGTTGCTGCCTCACTCTCTGAGGCCTCGCTGCCAAAGCCTCAGCCCTCAGACTCCAGTAGGGAGGACCTCGGCCTGAGTGGGGACCCCAGGATGATAAACACTTCTCAGTACCAGAGCCAGAGATCCAGCAAGACCACAGCTGCCCATGACCAAAGGCAGAACTCTAGCATGACAGAGGCCACCAAGGGCCCAAAGCCAAGGCCCACCAAGAACAGGGCTGCTCTGAGTCCAAAGCAGAGATACAGAAGAGCCAAGGCTGTCCGTGCTCAGAACTGGAAACCCAAGACCAGTGAGCCCCAGAACCATGGCCTGAAGCTGGCTCGGACTCCCAGCAAGATTCAGCTTTATGTCGGAGGCTGGAGCCTCAGGGGTGCCAGTGAGACCCAGGACCTGCCGCCAAGGCCCAGCAAGACTGAGGTGGCCTCAAGCAAGACTGATGCTGTCTGGGGACAGAGTCCACGCATCAGCAAATCCAAGGCTTCCCAGGACCAGGACCAGAGCCCCAAAGAGGTGGTGACTGTCCCCACGCCCAGCCACTATGCTGATAACTAAAGGGGCCAATGAAATCCTTACTTCTTGCTGAGTAGAGAACAGATTTTGCCCAACACCCTGGCTCTCAGCAAAGTGGTCCCTTTCCAGGGTAACAAGAAACCTTAGCCAACATTCTTCTGGTCCCATGGCTAAATTTATTATCCCTGTTCTCTTCTTTTACAAAATTAAAAACTTTGAAATCCAGGCCCAGGGTGGCAGCTCAAGTTCCTCCATTTATGGAAACTGTGAAGTCCCAGCCTGGCCTTGCTGAGTTTCCAGCTCCAGTCACAGGCTGTGGGGCTGAGGTCCAGGTATGGAGTCAGGGTAAAAGGTGCAGGTAAAAGCCCCAGAAGGGAGCAGCCAGGAGCCTCGGTCCCTGAGTTGCAATTCACATTGAGAAGGCTCAGACTGCAGGGTGAGATCAAAGCTCAGTGAGGTTCTGGGATGCCCAGGAGTTTGCCTGGGGAGATGCCCTCTAACCAGTCAAGAGGCCAAGCCCTTCCCAGCCCTCTGTCCTCGGCTTGGTCAGCACCATTCTCCATCTTGACTTTTTGCTCTGGGTCTGTCTTGCCAGCCAGCTTAGGAAAGAGTCCCTCCACAGGAGGCCCCAGGCCTTGCTGTGTGGTCTCTCTAGGCAGAGGAGTGCCTCCTCTAGGCAAGGGTGCCACCTCGTGGCATCAGAGGAAAAAGGTGATCCGGGAGGCCACAGTCTTGCAGCCATTGGAAGAGAAGAGCTGTTCGTCCTCGGGGAAGAAGGTGGTACTGTCCAGCACAGCCTGAACTACCTCCTCCTGGGGCTCCAGGCCCAGCTGGGCCAGCTCATTGAGCACACAGTGCCGCACGTGGTGCCGCTGGAGTGGGAGGAAGGGCACAATGGCATCTAGCAGACGTTCCTCTATAATGCCAGAATGCCAAAAGCCATCTGTAGAAAAGGAGGGTGAGCAGGAAGTCAGGTGCCAGAGCCCCCTCGGGCCAGGGGATGAGTGCACAGATTTGGGAGAGCTGTATATTTTGTACAGGTCACAGAAGTCTGGGCGAGGAACTAACTACAGGGCACTTTACAATTCACAAAACAACTTTTTGTCTTGTTATTATAGCCCAGGCTGGCCTCACATTTGAGGCCATACTCAGTTTACAGTCTGGGAACCTGGCCCACCCCAGGGAGTCCAGCCCACCAAGTCTAGGTGTGAAGCCCTACCAGGACAGGTCCCTGAGCCAACTCACGGTGCGGGTTGTCCAACACGGCCCGAGAGATGGCTGGCTCCAGCTCCTGCAGGCTGATCTCCTCCCTGTCCTTGCGGCTGTGCCATGCCTCCAGGGCCACCTGGTTGATTTGCTCACCACCAGTGTTGCTAAAGTCACAAGAACCCAGGCTGAGATTCACTGAGGGACCAGAGGGTCAAAACTTGGCTTTTACTTTCCAGTCACATCCAACATGACTCAGAGTGGGCAAAATGGCCCATTTCCCTTTTCCTCCTCAACTATGGGAACAACCATGACAATAACATGTCTGTGTACCATGCACTTTTTTTTTTTAATCTTTTTTTTGAGACAGGGTCTCCCTGTAGCCCCAGCTGGCCTGGAACTCACAGAGATCCGCCTGCCTCTGCCTCCCAAATGCTGGGATTAAAGACATGCGCCACCACGCCCGGCTCATACCATGCACTTCACAATTCACAAAACGACTTTTTGTCTTGTTATTATAGCCCAGGCTGGCCTCACATTTGAGGCTATCTCCTGCTTCAGCTTTCCCAATACTGAGATTACAAATGCGTACCACCATACTCAGTTTACAAAATACTTTTGTATCCTTTAACCCAGCCTCTCCTCACCCAGCTTCCGGGAGGACAGTGGGGCAACAACAGCTCAGAAGTGAGACCAAAGCTCAGAGAGGTGCAGCAGCTCTGCCTAAGGAATCACAATTAGGAAACAGAGCTGGGATTCGGGGACTAGAAAGCAGTCCCTTTCCGATAGGCCTGTGTCCTCTCAACCACAAAAGGACACCACTTGACCAGCAAGGGGCTCCACAAAGCAGCAGAGAGGGGCTAAAAGACAGACCAAAAGGACTTTGAGGCTGTCAAAGGAGAAGTCAGCCACCTCAAATGACAGTCACCACAGAGAGTGTAAGGAGCAGAGGCAATCTGGGGAATGGTACTCTGCTGGGAGCACCAGCCAAAACTGGAGAGCTGACCTCTGAGAAGTGTCCCCCACTGTGCCCACTGTAATGTCAGCCGCACCTGATGAAGATGAAGATGGCTTTGCGATAGTTGGTCCCATACACAACCCAAGAGGGGCCCAGGAAAGGTCGCAGCACCTCCATCAGGCCAGGGGGCAGCTTGTCCATCTCATCGAAGAGGAAGAGGGAGCGGCCGCAGGCAGTGAGGTTGCCTTGGACCCAGGTCTTGAGATCCTTCTATGGGGTAGACACAGGAGTTCCAGAGGAGCCCAAGACACTTCCCCCCCAACCCCAAACTTCTTCCCAAGCCCAGAAAATTCCCCTTCCCAGAGAGATGATAGAAGCTTCCAGACAGCATCAGCAGACAGATGGCAAAAAGGATGGCCCAGAGAGGGACAGAGACTTGCCTAAGGTCACACAGCCAATCAACAAGAGAACAGAGACACAGACCCACGCATCCCACCTCTCTGTTCATGACAGCTCCTGCATCTATAATAGGAGGCTCCTTCCTGCTCCCTGAACCTGCCCTAGAGTGTTGGAAGCTGAAACAGATCAGCCTGAAAAGGGCACTGCAAATCAACAACAGTGATCAGAACTGGCATTTACCAGGAGTGTTTCCTAAGCCCCAAGTTGGGGCTAGGAGCTTTACAGACAGGTGATAATGTAAACACAGGTACTCTCTGAGTAATATCTGCCTTGTATAATCCCCATGTGCCTAGTGATGGCTCTGGCTCACAGGTACCAATAATTTGCCCCCACCTCATGAAAGACAGCATGCTTCTCCACATTCCCATCCCAAGCTCTGTTCCCAATAGGTTTTAAGGGTTGAGGCTCCAACTGGCTGTGTGACTTGGGGCCAGTGACTGCCCTCTCTGGAGTTAGGACTCATTCCTCAGGGTCTGTCACCCCATGCTGCAGGAGACGGGATCCAGGACACACCCAGCCTACCTTGTAGTGTTCGATGTGGCTGGGGTGTGGGAAGTGGATGATGGGGGAGAAGTGATGCACGTGAGGGCTTCGAAGACCACTCTGGAAGAGGTAGTGTGCCAGCAGAGAGCTGACATAGGACTTCCCGGTGCCTGTCCAGCCGTGCAGGGAAAGGACCAGCGGCTTGCTGGGGGCCGGGTCCTGTATGAAGGCCTTCAGTGACCTCACCACCAGTGCCTTGGCCAAATGCTGGCCAGCCAAGTGTTGAGCCAGGTCACACTCCAGACCTAGGACCACAGAAAAAAGGAGGAGTCAAAGCTAAGGACAAGGCAGGTCTGGTGGCTCATGCCTGTAATCCCAGCACTTGGGAGACTGAAGCAGGAAGAGCTCCGCTAATCTTAAAGCCAGGGTGGGCTATACAGTGAGTTCCAAGCCAACCTGTGCCAGAGTGAAAACTGTTTCAAATAAAGAAGCCAGGTGTGGTGGGCCCGTCTCTTTAACCCCAGCACTCGGGAGGCAGAGGCTGGAGGACCTCTGTGAGATCAAGGCCAGCCTGGTCTACACAGAGGCATCTCCATCAAGGCAAGAGGTTCAAGAGGGAAGACATGTCTGGGGACCCTGTTTGGGACACTTGTCCGAGTGAAGGGCAGGGCATGGCCCCTGCGGGGGGTCTGGCTACAGGGGCAAGGAGTTTGGGTGCAGGAGCCACCCTTAGCCTGAGGTCGGCAGCACCCCCACGAGGCGCTTCTGAGGACTGCACCTACCCGGAGTGAGCACAAGCTGTCCCCAGGGCTTCCCAGTCCCCTCCACAGAGGCCTACCCCAAGCCAGCAGGACTCGCCGTCAAAGGCCTCGCTCCACCCCGGCAGACCCGCCCCCCGCCGGCACCCCACTGCTCACTCCCAGACCCTCGCCTCGGGTTGGTGCCCGGGTGCACCGCTGTCCAGCTGCCCGCCGCCTGCCCCTCCCCTCTGGGCTCCCCACCCCTCACCCGGCAGGTCGGGCCGGAAGTCGCATTCGCAGAACGAGCCGAAGTTGCAGCGCAAAGAAGCCAAGTCCCAGGCGGCGGCCGCGGCGGACACTAAGCCGAGCAGCCCGAGGATCGAGCCCCAAGGCCAGCAGCCGCGCCTCACAACCGCCATCCGGGTGAGGCCCGAAGTCGCTCTGGGGCCGCCCACCACCTGGACCTGCGAACTACAGCTCCCGGTGTGCACCGCTTCGCGGCAGCCACGCCCATCGCCTACAACTCCCGGCTCCCCTCCCTCGCGTCTCCGACGCTGGACGGCAGGTCTCGTAGCAGTACCGCTAAGTGGCCGCCAGGCGGAGGCCGCGAACCGCCTAATTCGAGGTACTGGGCCGCGTTTCCATGGCCACGGTAACTAGGGGGTCCATCACCATGCTTCAAAGAATAAAGAATTAAGACTGCAGAAGGTGACGCAAGAGTAATAACAAAAACTTCTGCAGAACCTTATACTTTACAAAGCGCCTTTTCAAAGCTCTTTTAAAATTTTATATGATAAGCCGGGCGTGGTGGCGCACGCCTTTAATCCCAGCACTCGGGAGGCAGAGGCAGGTGGATCTCTGTGAGTTCAAGGCCAGTCTGGTCTACATAGTGAGTTCCAGGACAGCTGGGGCTACAGGGAGACCCTGTCTCAAAAAGACCAAAAAAAAAAAAGATTTTATATGATAAAAGAGTGCTCACTATCAGCTTTTTATGAGCAACTCTGTGCCAGTCAGGTGCCTTATTCGGTGAGATATAGTCACATAAAGTGTGTTGACTCCGAAAATAATCAATAGGGCCTGCGAGATGGCTCAATGGGTAAAGGTGCTTGCTGCCAAGCCTGAGGACTTCAGTTCAAGCTTCAGTGCCTGCATGGTGGAAGGAGAGAACCAACTCCCGCAGATTGTCCTCTGACCTTCACACATGTGCACACACATACAAATAAATGAATAAATAAGTAAATTAATAAACCAGGCAGTCACATAGCTTCTGAATTACTCAGAAAAGTGTAATTTTCCTTCTTTCTATTCCTTTTCTAAGGAATAAAGGCTTCATTTTTTTCTCTAGTTTCCCTCCCTGCTGTGACTGCATCTCACCACTGGCCTAACGCAAATGGAATGGCTTTTCCTCTTTGCTCCATCTTCCTCCTCCACGCAGCTGCCAAGACTTACAGCTTGCCTTCACTGAGATTTTTCTTTTTAAAATTAATTTCTTTTTATGTGTATGAGTAAACGTTTTGCCTGCATGCAAGTGTACCATGTTTGCACAATGCCCATAGAGGCCAGAAGAGGGCATCACATTCCCTGGACCTGGAGTTACAGAAGGTTATTAGCTGCCATGTGGGTGCTGGGAACCGAACCTGGGTCCTCTGCAAGAGCAGCCAGTGCTTTTAACCACTGAACCATCTCTCTAACCCATTTTGCTATGGCTTAGGAGAAGTCCCTTTTCCCTTCTGATGTCAGTTCTGGGGGTGTGTGGGGGAGTGGGATTCTAGACTAAAAGCCCTTCCACCCCAAACATCTGGTGTCTTTGCCATGACTTCCTTGTGCAGGCCTGGGCTCAAGAAGACTGAAGGCCTTACTTTTCCCACTGACTTGGACTGTCTCCCCTGCTGATCTGTGAGCTTGTTGAGATAAGAACTTGATGCCTCTGTAACCCTGGTTCCTGGTATAGTCTGGGATATCCCTGGTGCTAACCAGGTATTTGTTGAATGAAGTTTTCCACTTTCACCCAAGCAAAGTGCTACTTTCTTACCCCCCAGGCCTCATGAGACAGAAGAAAGAGTCATAAAAGTTTATTATATTAAAGAACATGGCTTCTGTACATATTTACAGAACAGACTTATTTACAGCAAAATGGAGGCTGTGGTATCTCTGGTCATAGATGCCCAGAGGAGAGAGGAGGTGCAAGGAGCCTCCCATGGCTCGAAAACAGGGGACCTCAGCAGAAGCTGGTGGAAGGAACGGGGTTCTTGTTCTTCCGGAAGGACAAGAGGCTTGATGAGTGTATAGTGGAGGGACGGAGCACAGAGTCCACACAGGACCCTGGAAGTGCAAGGGAGATCCTGGAGTTGAACCCAGAACATTCATGGGCTGATCACAGTGTCCTTGAGGTGCTCTGAGGGGGAAAGTTCTGAGCCCCTCTGCCCCCGAAGCTGCCCGCAGCTGCAGAGGGGCAAGGTCCCCGGGGTCACAGCTCACTGGAACGGACGGCAGGCTCCAGCTTGTGGGACAGGGCAGTGAGGACCTTGTCAAATTTCTCGTAGCGCCGTGCCTGGCTGCTGCCGGCACCCTGGCTGCCCCAGAGGAGGCGCATCTGGAACTCAGTGCTAAACACCTCCAGGAGCTCTGGCCGGGCCTGGAAGCCTGCAACATGGGGATATAGGGTCAAACCCACATTCTTCAGGACTCTTCTCATAGGGGCCTTCCCCAGACTGCCAGGGATCCAACAAAATGTTTTGATCAACATGACTATGCACACTGGAACCTAGCTTTTTATCAACTATTTGCAACATATACACTATGTCATCCTGACTCTCCTGGAAGTCACTGTGTAGACAAGGCTGGCCTCGAACTCATAGAGATCCTCCTACCTCTTCCTACCAAGTGCTGGGATTAAAGGTGTGTGCTGAGGAGAAGAGAATTTGTGTGTATGTCTGTGTGCATACATGTGTGTGCACACATGTGCATGTGGGGGGTCATGGGGCTAGAATCTAGGGCTTTGGAAATGTTAAACAAGTGCTCTACCACCAAGCTATATCCTCATTCCTTAGAAGATAAAAAATTAATGTAAATTGCCAGGCGTGGTGGTGCACGCCTTTAATCCTAGCACTTGAGAGGCAGAGGCAGGTGGATATCTGTGAGTTCCAGACCAGCCTGGTCTACATAGTGAGTTTTAGGACAGCTGGGGCTACAGGGAGACCCTGACTCAAAAACAAAGCAAAACAAAATAAAATATATCAATATAATGTTGGGGAGATCTTAGATCTTGTATTTTTCTATAAGGTTCATTTTTTTTTCTAAGAAACACATTTTACAAATACATAAAAAAATTTTCTTTCTAAAAAAGAAAAAAATGAGAAAGCTATTTCAGAATATTCATAGGACGGCCCTCTGGGCTCAGCGATTCAGAACACTGGTTGCCCTTGCAGAGGACCCGGGTTCGATTCCCAGCGCCCACATGGCAGCTGTCTGTAACTCCAGTTCCAGAGGAATCTGACACCATTTTCTGACCTCCATGGGCATTTCATGACATGGGTGCACTTACATAGATAACAGGCAATACACGAATACACATAAAATAAAATTTTTAAAAAAAAATCTTATTCTTTTGTGGATATAGGTTCTAACTTGTTGCTGGTGATTTTTTTTTTTTTTTTTTTTTTTTGGCCTTGTTGAGACAGGGTCTCCCTGTAGTGGTCTTGAAATCGATAAGTAGCTAGGGAATGGCCTCAAATCTCTGGAGTGCCCCATTATAACCAGTTTGTGAGGAGCTGGGGAACTGAGCCCAGAGGTTCTGAATGCTAGGCAAGCACTCTACCCACTGAGGCACATCCCCAGCTCTCCAATGAATTTTTTTGTGGCTTAACTAATACCCAAATCAGTGAAACAGCCATTGTCGGAGGCCGCTTTCTCTGCTTCTTTCCTAGAGTGAAGTTCTGTGTCCCCCAGACTCAGTTCCTTGGGGACCAGGCAGGTCTGTCTTCACCCAGGACCTTGGCTGGGGACCTTTTGGACACCTATGGAGAGCAGGCCTACCAGATGCCCACTGCACAGATGAGAACATTGAGGCCCAGTTGGCTGAGAAACACAGCCAAAGGTACTCATCAGTCATCTCTTTGGGCCCACCCAACCCAGCAGCTGCTTATACAATGTGAGTCAAGTGATGGATGAGAAAAAGGAGCCAAGGAGAGAGGACAGGACAGAGGGACAAGACAGCCACTCACCCTGCAGCTTGACCTCAGCATTGGTGTGGTAGAGACCCCCGTGGTGCGCCACAGTTCGGGCAGCCTCCAGGTGGGCCAGCACAACTTCCACACCATGTTCTGTGCTGCCCCAGGGCTCTGGGCCTTCAGCCGGAGCTGAGTCGCACTCCAACAGAGTGATGAGGGGCAACACGTGTGGAAATGTGGTGTTGCTCAGCGGAGGGCCTTCTGCAGGGAGAGGACAAATGGGTACTTAGACACCCAGAGTGCCCTGCTGCCCACCGCACTTCTGGAGCTGCCTGAGGTCCTAGGAGAGGCACCTGGGGTCCCTAACTACTGGGACAGCCCCTCCTTTCCTGGGGTGACCCCCAAGCAGGACCTAGCCAGAGCTTACACTGCTACTCTATGGGGAAAGTGAGGCATTAAGTTAAATTCTCATCTCCCTCACCCCAAAAGGTTCTTTGCCATCCCAGAGAGGGCTGAAACCTGTGCAAGGTCACACAGCAAGGTGGGAGATAAGGTACCTTTGCCCTCGTTGAGGCTCTTGAGGAAAGGCTTGAGCTTCTTTTCATAGAGGATGGCACCCTCTGTGTGTCGCTGCCGCAGGGTCACCCATGTCTGTTCCAGCCTGGCAATCTGAGGAGACCAGACTGTGAGAAACCCACCAGGGAAGGGGCCTCCATCCAGGGGCAGCTGGCCACAAGCCACTCCCATTGAACAACCGTCCAGCTATGAACTAATAATATTTTTTTGAGGCAGAGTCTCACCATGTAGCCTTGGCTGACCTGGAACTTGCTACACAGACCAGGCTGACTTCGAACTCAGGGAGTGCTGGGATGAAAAATGTGTGCCACCAAGTCCAGTTTAAAACCCAGGGCCTGTTGCATACCAGGCAAGCACTCATCCAACACAGGTACAGCCCCAGCCCGACTGTGTGTTCTTTAAATTCAGTGTTTTCTCATTCATCTTACAAGTGGAGAAACTGAGGCCCAAAGGGAGAACTTAGCACTTGAACTCGGTTCTCTTGGCTACTCTTTTACCAACATGTGCCTGGGGGCTCCAAAGTTCCTCCTGTTTCCATAACTTCCCCAGAGAAGGCGCCCCAAGCCTCTCCCCGACAGTCCAGCGAATGTCCCACGGGCCCCCGCAGTACCTGGGCCATGTCCAGGGCGCCCATGACCGCGGCAAAGCTGAACATGTTGCCCATCGTGCCCCGCAGCTCGGCGGCCAGCTGGATGGTCTTATGCAGCAGCGCTGCCCGCTCCTCCGCAGAGCCGGTGCAGCCCAGAATGTCCACTGCCAGCATGATGGACATGGTGTGGAACCTGGGGGAGCAGCCAAGGTCAATGGTAGCGGGGTCTGGGGTGGGGTGGGGGCGGGGTCCTGCCACTTTCAATCAGGGAGGCAAAGCCAAAGAGAAGTTTTAATAGGTCAAAGAGGTTAGGGGGCATGGCTTGAATGAGTGCCCCCCCACTCCCCCGCCCCCGCGCAAGATGAAGAGCTTCGGATTGGTCAATATAAGTTGGGGGCGGGACCAGAACACCAGGAGGCGGGGTTTGTGATTGATCAATGAAATTCTAAGGACTGATCTGTTTTCAGAATGAACGCCCAGGCCAATAATGATGGACGGGGACAAGACTGATGGACAAGGAGGATAAAAGATGCAGTCTTCGGCAAACCAGGATGGCTTTGAGGCTGCCATTGATCAGTGAGATAGGAGGACCGGTCAAAGTCCTGAGATTGTCCGGGGTTCCGTCCAGCAGCCCATGGGGCCTCACCTTTCTAGCAGGTCTAGTCTTAGCTGCCGGCCGTGGGGGAGGGTGAGCAGCTCTATGCCCCAGCGGACTCCCATTAGGGTCTGCATCTCCTTGGTAACGCCCAGTATCCTAGCAACCTGCAAGGACGCCCAAAGGGTTGATTAATTTCCCGTCAGGGTTGGCCCAAGCCATCTGGGAGTCTTCTAAAGAGGGGTGTCTGGCTGAGAGGCCCGGTTTGAATCTCAGCTTCACTGCTAACATGGAGCAAGTGCTTCTCCCTCTCTGAGTGAGCCTCAATTTTCCCATCTGTAAAATGGGGAATGGGAAAATGCTTAAAGGTGTGTGCCCTGTCATTTAAGATTGAGTCAAGATTCCTTCATTCTAGAGGGCCAACCCAAGACCCAGGAGGGGGTGGACTGGCTCACATTCACTCATTGGTCCTACTACCCAGCTTCATACCCAGCAGCATAACACCCCTAGCTCTGAGACCAGTGTTCTTCCCAAAATGCACAGGGAGAAACTGAGGCACAGAGAGACCTGGGACTTGGTCAAAGCCTCATAAGGTCCTTGACAGTTTATGGCCCCAGGACTATTTTTGCTTGTTTGTCCACTATGGGTAGTGGGGACCGGGAGCCCCACTTTTCTCTTCCTAGCCAGTTGACTTTTTTCAGGCTGACACTGGGACATTCCCAGAGTGGACCCAAACGTCAGACCTGAGAGCAAACCAACATCTGGAGGCTGTGAGAATGTGGTTTTAGCTCTTTCTTTTTTTTGAGACAGGGTCTCCCTGTAACCCCAGCTGGCCTGGAACTCACTATGTAGACCAGGCTGGCCTTGAACTCACAGAGATCCTCCTGCCTCTGCCTCTGGAGTACTGGGACTAAAGCCATGCACCACCACACCTGCCTACCGGTTTTAACTCTTTCAAAGAAGAAAATGGAAGTCCAGAGGCTAGATGACCAGCCCAGAGTTCCAGAGCCAAAAGGTATCTGTGAAGGCTAATCAGACCACTCACTCTGCTGTACTTGGAGAATCTGGGAATGAGTCCCTCACCACCTTGACTCCTGTCCCAAAGCCAGAGGACAGAGGTGCTGTCCTCTCCTCCAACCCATGCCCAGCACCTACCAGGCAGTCAACCTTGGTGACATGGCGAGCCAATGTCCGGGCATCCACCTCTGACAGCAGCTCCTTGACTTTGCGCAGAAGGCCCACTTCCAGGGGCCGGTTCTCCTTGGGGATCAACAGTGACTGGAAGGTGGCCGGGTTGAAAGAAGACGTGGCTTCCACCACAGGGACTGTGAAGGCCTTGCCCCACTCCCCCTCAGGTGCCCCATTTTCTGACAGTTCCTTTTGCTTCTCCCCAGAGCTTCTGGCCTTCTGAGAGGCCTCTCCTGCTGCCCACTCTCGGCTGCCACGGATGGGAGGCTGGAGCTGGCAGTAGTGGCCAGAGTCCGGGTCGCTGTAGCTACTGAGTGATGGTGATGGAGAGGCCTTGCAGAGGGTGTGGGAGGGGCTGGCATGAGGGGCCTTGTCCGACTCCCCAGGGGGCTTTGGGGCACTTCCAGGACACAGCTGAGGTTCACTAGAGCGGCGGGCAACTGGGGAGGCAGGCAGCACTGTGGCAGAGGGGGCTGCAGGGGCAGCATGGACATGAGTTACTGCAGAGAGGGGTTGAAAGGACTGGTTACCACAGCTCCCCACCAAAGTGAGGATTCCCTTCCCTGTTCTTCAAAGAGCAGTTTCCATCTTGATATGGTGACATTCCCACCTCCAGGCATAGTGGATACCAAGCACAGCAAACTCTGGCAAACTCAGTCTTGGACTAGAGGAGCTTGAATACTGCCCTACAGTGGCTCCAGCATAGGGAGCCACAGCAGTGGTCCAGAGAAGCAAAGCCTGCTGGAGGCCATTGTGCCTTGTGGAACCGTTGCCCAGTGAATTAGCAAAAATGACTTACTGGGTACACAGTGTGTAATGTGCTGGAGAGATACTGTCATCAGTAAAACCATCAACACCAGGAGGCAAAAGCCAGGCATAGTGGCACATCCTTATAAATCAGAGCCCTGGGGGCTGGAGAGATGGCTCAGCAGTTAAGAGCACTGACTGCTCTTGCAGAGGACCCAAGTTCAATTCCTAGTACCCACATGGCAGCTAACAACCGTTCCAGGAGATCCAAAGCTCTCTTCTGACTTCAAAGGGCATTGCACTGGACAATACTGGTACACTTACATACATGCAGGAAATTCACTTGTGCACATTAAATTTTAAAATGGGGAACATAAAATGGGGAATGGAAAAATGCCTAGAAGTGTGTTCCATGTCATTTAAGATTAAAAGTCAAGATTCCTAGCTGGGCAGGGTGGCATATGCCTTTAATCCCAGCACTTGGGAGGTGGAGGCAGACAGATCTCTGAGTTTGAGGCCAGCCTGGTCTACATAGTGAGTTCCAGGCCAGCCGGGGCTATAGGGAGATCCTGTCTCTAAAAGACCAAAAAATAAAAAAATAAAAATAAAATAAATCATAGTCCTGGGAAGGCTGAGAGAGAAGGATGGCTTTGAGCTGGAGGCCAGCCTGAGCTACATGAGTTCTAAAACAACCTGAAGTACATAGAGAAATTTGTCTCAAAAACAAAGCAACACCCTCCACCAATCAGAGGTGAGACCTGGGTGTGTGGCTCTGTGCTAGCATTCATGAGGCCAAAAGTGGTATTTTTTGAGCTCTTACTGCCACGAGAGCCTTCTCTTCAGATTTCTATAAAGCAAGGACTTTGGGGATCCTCACTCTACAGATGAGAAAAGTGAGGCTCAGAGAGGTTAAGCAATTTCCCCCTAAGGTCACTCAGCCAGCAAGCAGCAGAGCCAGGACTGAAGCCTTGGCCTCCAAGCTATTTGATGATGGCATGTTGTTTAGAAATTGTCTCATGATAGCCAGGCATGGTGGCGCATGCCTTTAATCCCAGCACTCGGGAGGCAGAGGCAGGCGGATCTCTGTGAGTTCAAGGCCAGCCTGGTCTACATAGTGAGTTCCAGGACAGCTGGGGCTACAGGGAGACCCTGTCTCAAAGAGACCAAAAAAAAAAAAAAAAAAAAAAAAAAAAAAAAAAGAGGCAGCAAAAGCTCACTAGTCTGGTCTGAGCTGACACGTGGACCTAGGGGCGCACCCAGTCATTAGGGCCCCTGGTAATGTGGTTACAGTGGAAACTAGGTCCAGTGGGCTAAACACTGTGGCCTGAGTGTGTGTCACAGCCTCAGGGCCCAGGCCCCATGATGACACACTGTGCCTCCAGCAGGCTTCCTCCATCCCGGCACACATGCTGAGAACCCACTTTGAGCCCAGGGCCTGGCACCCAAGGGGGGCTCCATCAACTTCACTGTATGTTGCTATATGTACAAGCCATGAATGTTGCTTATACATGAACACCTGCAATTCTGCTGCAGGCTTTTACAGCATATTCCAGCAGGACACAGCTTCCAGAACAAAGGCAGAAACACAGGCAATAGACCCCCCCACCAAAGACAGCAGCCACTGTAGTCTGACCCTTTGCTGGCTTACCGGTACTGTATGCAGGGGAGCTGGGGCTCTCAGAGATGGGAGACAGGGGCGAGTGTAGGTCTGGAATCTGGTCCATGCTGAGGGCACAGTTTCGGATGGAGTCCCGGGGGTGGGGTAGTGAGGTGCTGTAGACAGGGATTCCCCGTAAGCCCAGAGGTCAGAGATCAGGGGACCTGATCCACCTCTGGGACCCACTGCCCATCCCATGAACTTCAGAGTCAGAAAAAGCTTGAGGATCATCAAGTTCAATCTCTCAATGAACAAGTGCAAAAACTGGAGGGGGAAGAGCTGGGCTAAGGTGGCACAGACCCCAGGCAGCCGTGATCTCTAAGCCCTGAAGCCAGCTGGCCATGACCACCCCAGACCTAATCTCCAGAGAGCTTTGACCTCAGCTGACTCCCAGCAGGCCCTGATCCCCCTGCCAGCCAGATCCCCTACTTCAGCCCTGACTCCCAGCCAGTCATGACTCCTCCCACCCCAAAAGCCCTGACTCCCGGTCAGCCATAAATCCTAGCAAGCCCTGACACCCAGCAGGCCCTGGCCCTCAGAGGACCCTGACCTCCAACAGGCCCTGATCCCCAGTTGGCCCTGGGGGCACAGCCCTATCTGCTTCAGCTTGTTTCTAGCTTCCTCTCCCCCATGTTATCCTGATCTTCTCCTCCATCCCTACCCAGTATCCTTTTCTACTGGTCTCAGATGACACAGCTTGGGGAGACCTGGCTGAGCTGAGAGATTCCTCAGGCTCCTGTAGGTCACTTTTGTCCCTTGAATGATGACAAGGGGCACAGGAGCCAGAACTCAGCCCCCTTTGAGATCTTTGTGTAAATTGGACCATGGCTCCCATTCTCTGCACTAATGCCCTCAGATGACAACTGAGGGCAGCATGGATTTTCAGCCCCTACTGTCCACTCCAGGGACATTGTGTAGTCCACATCTTGTACAACTGTTCTTTTCCCTGGAACCTTACCCAGAGAACCTTGGAGAACTATTTGAGAAAAGGGGCTGACAGGAAAAGTATGGAGCCTGAGGGAGCCAAGCCCACCAACCTGCCCCTCTCCCCCTGCTGTTCTCGTACTATATCCTGGATGCCTCACACATCTGGCCTATGGTCCTGGCACCACTATGTCCACTGGTTCCAAACCACAAGCCAAGTGCCCACTGCCACAGAGTATGCATCCATCAAGTCTTTGGCTGGCTGCACCCAACCCAGGGAGATGGGCCACAAGAACCTAGCCAAGTGTTGGTGGCAAAGGACAGTGGACTTCTCTGTAAATACCAGAGAAGCCACAGAAATGAGGGACATAGATTTTGAAGACTGCAGACGTGGGTTCTAACCATGATTCCACCACTGTCTAGCGATTGTCTCCTTCCCTCCTTCCTTCCTTTATTTAGCTCAGTGCTAGTAGGCAAGGGATATACCAGTGAGTTACACCTCCAGATCTCTGTTTCCCTTCAACAAGCCCACTTTCACATCTTTAGGGTATAGTCAGGATGCCTTGGCCAGGGAAGCCAGAGTCCAAAAGATTGGGCATAGGCAGTGCTCCGTATAGGCCAGGCAAAGTGGGGCCTCAGCCACCATCAGCTGTGACTGGTCTCACTTAGCCTCAGAAGCAGCCCAGAGACATTCAAGTTCTACTGAGTGGCTGAGGATATGGCTCAGTTGGTAGAGTGCTGGCCTAGCATGCACAAAGCCTTGGGTTCAGTCCCCAACTCTACATAAACTAAGTGTGGTGATGCATACCTACAATCCCAGAGATAGAAGCAAAAGGATTAGAAGCTCAAGGTCATCCTCAGCTACATAGAAGACTGAGATCAGACTGATAGAAATGTCATCGAGAACTTTGTGTCCTATACAGTGGTCACCATACTGCAAAGCCCTCTGTTCTATAAATGCCAGGGCCTAGCTGGGAGTGGAGAGAAGTGGCAGGCAGACCAGCTCCATCCCCCTGCCCCTCCACTCCCCGAGTTCAGGACAGCACCCAGGGCTCCCTGGTGGCCAGAGAGGTAGGCTGGAGCAAGGGTCCTCTATGGGTAGAAACAGGAAGGTGAGCTGTGTTCTGGCCTCCACACCTAAGCTTAGCTTCCTTAGGCTCCCCTACACAGAGGTCCCAGACAGCAGCCCCATCTAGCTCAAGGGGGCTGGACCTCCTTTCTTCACCAGCACGCCCGCTGCTGACACCTCACTTGACACATCAGGGAAGTGGGGACCTGGCTGACCTGTTGGGGCAGCCGTTGCTGCGGGTGACCTTGTCCGTGGTGAGCCCATCAGTCATGGTAATGCTGCGCCTCTTCATGTGGCTGCCCTTGGGACCTGAGGGACTGGCAGGGCTGGAAGCTTTGCTGCTGGCCTGGCTCAGGCCATAGCTGGCCTCGAGGTAGCGCAGGGGGAAGGTACGGTTGACAGGACAGTAGATGATGGCCCCACTCTGTTCCGACACTGCCTTGCGGCTGCCCACATGGTAACGCACAAGAGCAGGCACGTGGTCAAAGCTCTCCTGCTCGAACAGATACTGGATGTGGGTGTAGCTCTCACCCGCCTTCACCACCACCTTGTTGATCTTGAAGTGCAAGGCCTGGTTGCGCCAGCGGCAGGTGAGCACATAGTCCCCCAGGCTGGTGAGTGAGTCTCGGATGAGGAAGTCGCCATTACGCTGTACCAGGGTCTCAGACACCTACAGGAGGCAGTTAGCTGAGTATGGTGGCAATAGAAGGCAGAGCCAGGGTCAGGGGACACGATGAAGACAGCACCCAGAGCCGGAGGATTCAGTTAACAGACATCAGACACCAGAAGCTTGGGACTGGTGACACGATGACAGATTCTGAGAGGGCACCTCAGTTGAGGCCATGAGTCTAGGGCACAGAGGTTCAGGAATGGAAAGAGGTGGCACTAGGCAATGGACATCCCAGAGACCCAGTGTCATGCTGGGGTCATCTTGATCTGAGGTTCCTGTCAGGCAGAGTGAATTCCAAACCCTCACTTCTCCAACTACCCAGGGCCCCAGCTCAATACTGAGTATCTGCTCCCTCAGGTGCCCTCTCTGCTTGAAACACACCTGATGAATCTGCACATCTCCCCAGGGCCTCCACTCAGTGCTCCCCCGCCACGTGCCCACCTGTATGTCTGCCCAGGACATTATTCTTAAATTTCTGTTGGAAGCTCTGATGAGCTGTACCCATCCAGAGTCACCAGCCTCCAAGGAGTTTAGCACTTCATCCATCTCCACATTTTTGGTCCCCAGCACAGGGCCAGGTGACCCTTTATCTCAGGTCTGTGGCTTATAAAATCATCTCAGCCCAGAAACTCAACTTGGAACTGGGTGTATTGGTACACACCTTTAACCCCAGCACTCGAGAAGTAGAGGTTAGTGGATCTCTGTGAAATCAAGGCCAACCTGGTCTACATAGTGAGTTCCAGGCCAGCTGGTGCTACAGAAAGACCCTGACTCAAAACAAACAAACAAACAAAAACAAAGGGGGGGCTGGAGAGATGGCTCAGTGGTTGAGAGCACTGAGGGCTCTCACAGAAGATTTGAGTTTGACTCCCAGCACCCACATTGTGGCTACAAACCATCCTTAACTCCAGTTCCAGGGGAATCTGAAGCCCTCTTCTGATCTCCATGGCATTGCACAACACGGGTGCACCCACATACATGCAGACAATACACTCATACAATAAAATAAAAGTAAGATATTAAACATTCATTTAAAAATGTAAAAAAATGAAAAGCAAACCAAAGGGCTAGAGAAATGGCTCAGCAGCTAAGAGCACCGGCTGCTCTCTCAGAAGACCCGGGTTCGATTCCCAGCACCCATATGGCAGCTGACGACCACCCATAACTCCAGTTCCAGGGGGTTTGACTCCCTCTTCTGACCTGAGGTCCCTGCCCAGGGTCTGCTCACCTCTCGGGGGATGCGTCCGTGGTACCAGGCATGACTGCGGAGGTCTGTGCTGCTGAGTTTGAGCTCTGCTTCCAGCTCCTTGTGTAGTTTTTCTGGTGAAGAGTCCAGAATGTACTTCTCCTTGGAGAACTGCACAGAAACAGACAGACATTGGTTCCCAGTCCTCTTCTTGTCTCCCTCCCTACTTATCCTGCCCTAGGTGAACTCTATCCTGGATGCTCAGACCAGTGCAACACCTGCCCTTCTGGGAAGGTCCTGTGGGTCCCTATCCCAGTCAGAGTAAAAAAAAATCCCAGTGTAGTCCACTAAACTTTGCCTACACATTCCAGGCTCCATGCCAAGTGCCGCGGATGGCTGCGGCGATGCCCAAGTTATGCTCTGTCCTCCAGGAAGCCTACAGGTTAAAAAGATGAAGCAAAAGGGCTGGAGCGGGCTGCCGTCAGCACCATAGTGCTGGACAGCGGCAAAGAGCCCTTGGGTTTCTCAAGGCTTTCTGGGAGAGGTTGAAAGTCTGGGAAGACTTCCTAGAAGAGTTGGCAGGTACAAAAACCCTCTAGAGGCAGCAGGAACATCTTGAATAAAGATGAGATGATTTCTACAGGTGTGTCTGGGAGGCAGCAAATGTCTGGGCAAACCATCTGGACAGACAAGGCTACCTTCTGGAATGTGAACTGTGCATTAGAAGGACCTGAAGGCAGCAATAAATGGGAACCAGGGGCCCCTCACAGACATCTTCACTGCCCACCACCACAATCCTCCAGACCCCTCCCTTTGCAATGTTAAGTGGTTTGTGGTTCTGCCAGATGTGGAAACTGCAGCCCTGAAGGGAAGTCCAAGGTCACTCACTGGAGAAAACACCCAGGGCTCCATCTTCCCACCTGCCTGGACACCATGGCCTGAGGTAAGAGGTTGCCCAATCCTAGGGGTCCAAATGTTGTAGAAGGGAGTCTCACTGTCAGGCACTCCCCACCATAAAGCCCAGCACACCTACGGGAGCTGTCTGAGCCTTGACACCTTCCTCAGTAAAATGGATGGGACTCCAGGATCTACCTCAATTCACAGACACCCTTGTCACTGTGGAGCTATGCCAGGACCCAAAGATGACTGCTTCAGGATAGATGCATCCCAGAGCTGGCCAGAAGGGGACAGACAAGCAGGGCAGGGAAAGGGAGACTCTTCCAGACCCCTGGAGTCTGGAGGCCACTCCTCAGACCTCCCTAGACTTGAGGCCCACACTACACAATTCCATTCTCCACCCTCTGTTCTAGCATTTCCTGGCTCCATCTTGATCCCCACTGCACCCCAACACCACAATTCAGGCTCCATCCTTTCAACATGGACCACCCTCCTGCTTAGGTCTTGTGCTGGGGCTGAGGCCCAGAGGGGACCAGGATGGTCCTCTGCCCTAGGGGAACCCTTTCAGATCCCCACACTCAATTTCAGGTGCCTGCATCTTCAGAGATGACATTTCCACTGAGACTTAAAGAGGCCTGGAAGAACCAAGAAAAGATGGGCAGGGATGAGCTGTGGCAAAGGCAGGCCTGCAGAGTCAAGGCTGTGGGCAGAGGAGCAGGTGAGGCAGGGCTGTGAGGCTCCTTGGGGAGACAGGGGTCACTCAGTGGCTTCAGCAGAACCACAGGACAGTTCAGTGTTGGGGCAGCTCCTCTCCTGTAGAGAGTGGCTTGGGACCCTCAGTCAATGGTAGAGCATTGTGAGGCATGGGGCCAGATAGGAACAGGGAAGGGATGGTAGGTGGTTACTGGCCAGGTGTAAGGGAAGAGGGCCAAGGGGCTGGACGAGGTGAGTACCAGTGGAGATGCTGGGAGGGGAGGTCTTTCTTTGAAAGGTGGCCAAGACAGGAACAGGAACATTTGAGAGTGGGTCTGTGACCATGCAGCTCTGAGGAGCCTGTGAGGATCTGGGAACAGACAATGGGAGGGGTCGGGTTGCACAGGTGCAGGAGGGAAAAGCAGTGGACTGGGCTGGGCCTGCTGCAAGGCCTCTGCCTGCAGCAGAAACCAATGCCCCAGTAGGGCAGAGATGTCACAGCCAAGCTCAGATTTGGGCTTTATTTCAGAAATCCACACTTCTCTAAGGGGTCCCCTTATTTCTGAGGGTCCTTAGCCTCCTCCTTCTCCCTTTGAAGAGCTCATACAGGCCGAGGACTCCCTCTTTGAACCACACAGGATGCCAGGGAAGGAGAGGTGAGATGCACTGGGATAAGGGAACCAGTACCCTGCCTTCCTGGGCTCTTCCTAACAGCCTGAACTCAGAACACCAGTCCCAGTTCTATGACTGAAGCTGGAGGGATGTGAGCAGGGGGGAGAGGGCAGAGACTGTGTGCTAAAGAACCTGGCCCCAAGACACCATGTGACCTTGAGCCAGTCACTTCCCCTCTCTGGGCAGCTTCATCCGTAAAAGGGTGCTGCAGACTGGTGCCTCATTTCCAGGCCTAATCAATGTGAGCAGAGTTGGGGGGTGAAGGGCCCAATTTGGTTCTCCCACACACCTGAGGGTAGGAAGTCCTAGGGTCCCTGTGACCTCCTTCTCACCCTAGGCCTGGGGGACCCCAGCTCCCAAGACTTGGGGTGGGGGGTGCTGAGGTGCAAATGCAGCATCCCTGCGCTCCGAGCACTGCTATTGGTCAGAGATGATCTCACCGCCTCCCTGCTTGCGCACGCCTGATTGGCGGGTGCGGAGATGCTTCGCTCTGCCGCCGGCCGGGCCGTCATTCAGGCGGGCTCAGAGCGAGTGTCTATGTGAGGCTGGGGGAGCTCAGAGGTGACGTGCCCCACGTCTCCCAGGAAGCTCAAGAGGCAGGAAAGCAGACACCCTGGGTCAAGGTCTTAGCCCCTTCTCAGTGGCCTGCGCTCAGCACCCACTCACTCCTCAGTTCCCTTAGGTATCCCAGTCTCTGACACAGCCACCCGGGAGGATGCTCCGCAGAGAGGCGGGGTCCGGGTCCTCCCCTCCACCCCCTTCCGTTTAACCCTCGCACGGCCGCTGCGCGCTCCTGCGCTGCCGGACCTGCTGGGCTGGGAGACCCGCGCCCCCAGCAAGTCCGAGCCCACTCAGATGGCAGGAGGGTGGCGACACCAAGGTCTCCGTAGCATCCTCCAGCATCCTGCCCCTTACTCAGCCTCCAGACCCCAGCTCTGCGCTCCTGGTACAATGGGCAGCCAGGTGGCCCTGGGTCAGCCGCAGGGACCCGAGTGCCAACTGGAGGACGCCCACCTCCCAGCTCCAAGTCCCAGGTCCAACTCACTCTAGTGTCCTCTGCAGCCCAGAGTCCCCGGCATAACCCCCTAGACCTGCACCCCGCAGAGCACCCCGGCACCCAGAGCTGAGGTTGGAGCGACCCCGCCCCCTCCCTCCGCCGGCCGCCTGGGCTGGCTGGACCCTGTGGGGATGCTCAGGCTGAGGTCCGCAGCTCAACGGCGGAGCTCGGTGACCCGGGTCCCCGTGCCGCCCCCTCACCTGCACCTGCACAAGCGAGCCGCGGTAGAAACAGCAGGCGGCGGCGGACAGCGCGCTCCACAGGCTGCAGCGCTCCGTCATGGTGCGGCCGGGAGACCCGGGTCCCCGGAGCCTGCCGGGGGCGTCGGCCGGCGGGACAGGGGCGCTGGGACCGACCGGGCTGGGCACCGGCTGCGCGTGCCTCTCAGCGGCGCGATTACCTCATCGCCTGGCCGGGGGGAGGAGCGGGGAGGCGGGGCGGGGAGACCCCACCCTCCAGCCTGCCGTGGAGGGAGGGGAGCAGAGAGAGGGAGGGGAGAGAGGGGAGGGAGAGGAGAGGACCATTGTTCCTCCCTCCACGCCCCCCACCCATCCCTCTGCGCCAGGTCCCCAGGACCTGCCCAGGAGGATGCCACCCAGGGCAGCGGGGTGGGGTTGGGACCCCTGGGCGGGCGAGGAGTGGCTCCTGACTCCCCCACTCCCGCACCCATCCTGACCTGGAACCCGCAGGGACTTTGAATTCAATCGGATCTAAAGCTGCAAAAATCCCTGTTTTGTGTTTAGCCCCATCCTTTGTGGCCGGGTTTCTCATCTCTGATTGGGAATAGAGGGACCGGCTAACTGGGAGCGCCGGAGTCCTAGGACTGTGAGAGCACCGAGCCCAGCTCACCCGCCTCTCTAACTATCGCTCCGTTCTCTTCAAGCCCTACTACTACTGGCTGATGTGACCGATAAACACCTATGCCCACCTCCCAGAACTTTATGAGTGTCACCAAGCTCCTGCAAGAAAGTTGCCAGGAACAAAGTAAGAACACTACTGTTTTCCGAGTATCTCAAAATCCAAATTTGGGACTTCATAGAACTCGGGTACAGTGCTTGCCTAACAAGGCTAAGGCACTAAATTCAATTACAGCACTGATGAAGTCAAACAATTGAAATCTGGATTTGAGCCGGGTTGTGGTGGTGCACCCCTTTAATCCCAGCACTTGGGAGGCAGAGACAGGTGGATCTCTGTGAGTTCAAGGCCAGCCTGGTCTACATAGTGAGTTCCAGGACAGCTGAGGCTACAGGGAGACCCTGTCTCAAAAAGACCAAAACAAAAATAAATAAAGTTTTAAATCTGGATTTGGGGGATGCGATGTGGCTCAGCTGGTAGAGAAGATCAAAAGTTCAAAGTCAGCCTTGGCTACATTGTGAGTTCAAGGTCACTCTGGATACATGAGACTGTTTCAAAAAACAAAAAAAAAAGCAAGTATATTGTCAGACTGGAATTTTTTCTTTGTCTTTTTGAGACAGGGTCTCCTTGTAGCTCCAGCTGTTCTGGAACTCACTATGTAGACCAGGCTGGCCTTGAACTCACAGAGATCCACCTGCCTCTGACTCCCCAAGTGCTGGGATTAAAGGCATGTGCCACCATGCCCGGCAGATTTGGTCTTTTTTTGAGACATGTTCTCCCTTAAGCACAGCTGACCTGGATTTGCCATGGAGACCAGGCTGGCCTTGAACTTGTAGAGATCTCCCTGCCTCTGCCTCCCGAGTGCTGGGACCAAAGGGGTGCACCACCATGCCTGGCATATATATATATCAGGGGTTGGAGAGATGGCTCAGCCATTAAGAGCACCAGCTGCTCTTTCAGAGGCCCTGAGTTTGATTCCCAGCACCCATATGCATGAAATGCCAGAGGAGGATAGAAGAGGTTGTAGGATCCCCTAGAACTGGAGTTATGGACGGTTGTCAGCTGCCATGTGGGTGCTGGGATTCAAACCTGGGTCTTCTGCAAGAACAACCAGTGTTCTTAACCGCTGAGCCATCTCTCCAGCCCCTATAATTTTATTTTAGCCTTTGCTAACTATGCACCAGGCAGACTTGACATTCAGATCCTTCCCACAGGTTGTGTGACCTCAGGCAAGTCCACCTCTCTTGGCCCCAGATGTTTTTTTCTGTAGCTAGCTTTGAACTTCTGAGTACAGTGCTTGGAACTTTGTGGCCTTGGTACTTTGAAACCCTCAGAGTCCAGGATTCCCGTCATTGTTTGGGAACTTTGGATTTCTGGATGTGCTTCAAAGATGAGCACTTCAGGGCAGAAATGGGATTTTGGAACCTGACTATTGATTCCAATCCTCATCAGTAGAGACTTGAAAAATAAGGTTAACGTTCCAGTGAGCAGGTGTTATTCCACTTAAAATGTTTTTTTAATCTTTTTTTTTCTGTACTGCGGATGGAACCTGGGGCCTTGAGCACGCCAGGCAAATGCTGTAGCCATGTATATCCCCACCACTGAAAAGTGTATTTTTAAAAAGTTTATTTATATTGTTTTATTTTTATTTATATGTATTTATATTGCATGCAAATGAGGATCAGACAACAACTTGTAGAAATGGATTCTCCCCTTCTACCATACAGGTCCTAGGGATTGAACTCAGGTCATCAGGCTTGGAGGCAAATGCCTTTACCCACTGAGCCATTCTTGTCAGCCCTAAAATCTACATTTTCAAGTCTATAAACTTGAGGGAAAATAAAAAGCCTCCAATCCTTGTAGGATTCTCACTACCTTGTCAGACAGCAAAGATTTGGGGTGCTGAGCACACTCCCCCAGATCACTCTCCCATGGCCCCTCCCCTGTGCTCTCAGGGTCTGTAAGAGGAACTGGGGTATGGGTACGGATGGCTTTCTGACCTGCTCAGCCTGCATCACCCCCTGAGCCCATCCCTGTCCTTGACGGTTTCCTACTCCAACTGATGGGGTTGACCGGGACTGTTGCTGGCCAGCTGTTATGGCCTGGCTCCAATGCTCCCTTCTCCAAAGAACCTTTGCTGCTCTCTCCCTCCCCAACTGAAAGTCATCCCCATGTTGCTTCTGCAATTGGAGCCTGCTCCATGACCCACACAGAGTGCTACAGCAGTTCAGAGTGATGGGATGTCCCTGAGGTCAGGAACCAGGTCGACCTGCCCTGTTTCAGGCTCTGGTATCCTTTCATGGGCACAGACTCAATGAGCTCCAAAGTTCCGAGTTTCACAGGAGCAAATGCCAAGATTCTGAGAGATAAGCCACCCACATCATTGCCAGACCTGGGACCAAAATTTAGTCCTGGGATGAGGATGTGGCTCAGTGGGCAGAGTATTTGCCTAACAGGAAGGAAGCCCTGGGTTTGATACCCAGCCATGAACCAGCACTTGTGGGGTGAAGATGAGAAGATCAGAAGTTCAGGGACATCTTTGGCCACATAGTAAGACTGAGGCCAGGCTGGGCTACAGGAGACCCTTCTTCAAAAATAAATAAATACATAAGTCCTGGGTTTGGTGGGTGGTTGAATATGGCCAAACTCTACATGATTTCTTCTCTGGTTCCCACTTGGAGCCATCTGCATGCACACTAGGTACTCCATCTTGCCCTCTGACATGTTGGATACTCATCCCAGGCCTGATTTAGGTGGAGCTCCTAATGGTGGAGGGTCAAGGACATTGCCTTGAGACTAAGCATCAAGCTTGGGGCACAAACCCACCTCTGCCATAAAAGCCCATGTGATGGTGAGGGAGTCACAAGTTTCACATCTGCAAGTGGGCAATCTGAGATGAGGGAAGGTCAGACCTCATTCATATGGAAACTGCCTCTCTGCCAGTGCTCAGCAGCTAGTGTGGGTTTGTATATAGTAGACACTCAAAATGCTTAGTCTTATAATTTTTACTGTTATTTCAAACCCAAATTTTGTTTTTGAGGCAGGGTCTCCCTGTAGTTCCCAGCTGGCCTGGAACTCACTGTGCAGACCAGGCTGGACCTTAAACTCACAGAGATCTGCCTGCCTCTGCCTCCCAAGGGCTGAAATTAAAGGTGTGCACAACCATGCCCAGCTGAATTTTTTTTTTTGAGACAGGGTCTTGAAATGTAGTCCAGGTTGGCCTAGAACTTGCAATTCTCCTGCTTTAAGCCTCCTGAGTGGTAGGATGATAACTGTGTGCCACACGCTCAGAAACAAAACAAAAAATACCTCTGCATTTTGGGGCTGGTTCAGTCTGTAGTGTTTGCTGCCCAAGCATGAAGACACAAGCTGGGGGCAGGGGGGCGGCTGGAGAGATGGCTCAGTGTTTAAGAGCATTGGCTGCTCTTGCAGAGAACCTAGATTCAGCTCCTAGCACATGCATGGTGGCTAACCACCATCCTTAATTCCAGTTCCAGGGGATCTGATGTCCTCTTCTGGCCCCTGTGGGCATTGCATGATGTGGATGCACTTACATACATGCTGTCATAACTCTCATATATATATAAAATAAAAATAAACAGCCAGGCCTGGTGGCACACACCTTTAATCCCAGCACTTGGGAGGCAGAGGCAGGTGGATCTCTGTGAGTCTGAGGCCAGCCTGGTCTACATAGTGAGTTCCAGGCCAGCTGGGGCCACAGGGAGACCCTATTTCCAATATATATATATATATGTTTGTATACACACAAACAAGCTTGATTCCATTTTTTTTTAAGTTAGGTGTGATGGTGCTGGTTTGCAATCTCAGTGCTGAGGCTGGAGACAAAACGATAGATCTCTATGGCCTGTTGGCCTGCCAGCCCAGCCTTATCAATGAGCTCTCAGGTCCCAGTGAAAGACTCAAAGTGGACAGCTCCTGAGAAAGGACACCAAAGTTGACCTCTAACTTTCATAGACATGAAAGAATATACATAAACACACATATGCACATAGGTACATACACAAACTAAATTTCAAACATTCCCCATGTTTAGAACAAATTATGCTCTTTTTTTTCCTTCTTTTTTTGAGATAGGGTCTCATGGAGCACCCAGGCTGGCCTTGAACTCACTGTGTAGCTGAAGATGACCTTGAATTTACCCTTCTGCCTCCACTTCCTGAGGGCTGGGATTGCAGGTATGTGACACTGCATCCAGTTTATATGGTACTGGGGACTGAACCCAAGGCCTCCTGCCTAGACAAGCATGTTACCAACTGAGTCACATTCCCAGCCTCCAAGCTAGACTCTTTTAAAAAAATATTTTATGTGTATGAGGGTATTGCCTGCACATGTCCTGCAATGCCAGCAGAGGTCAGAAGAGGGCACTGAATTCCCCTGGAACTGGAGTTACTGAAGGTTGTTAGCCACCATGTGGGTGTTGAGAATCAAACCTAGGTCCTTTGCAAGAGCAGCCAGTGCACTTAACCACTGAGCCATCTCTCCACTCTTGATGAACATGAGCTGTGTCCACTCTGCTGAAGAGCTGAGTTTCTCCTGCTGCCCTCTCCTAGCACCAGAACACCACAACTGCCCCAAGAGTGGACGGACTGGCATTGCTGTGGCCACTGCAAAGGGACACCCTTGGGATCCTGTCCAGCTGGGCAGATTGTAACAAACACTGTGATGCTCTGAGTGTGTAGCCAGAAGAGGGACAGAAGGCATGGGAAGTGGCTCAAAGTGATCTGTCCCCAGGAGCCGCCCGACCCCTGACCCTTTCCTCCCAGGAGGATGTCTGACTTCTAACAGGCTCTAAGGCCTCTATCTTCTCCTGACAGACTGCAGGCCTGCCAGCCTGCCTCTCTTACCTTGACATAGTCCCCAGCAGCCTCCAGCTCTCCAGTAGCCCTGGAAGAAGAGAAGAGAGGTGAATGTTCCCAGTGCCTGTCAGCCTGCTGGTCTGGGTCCTGGATCTGCTCCTGGGGACCCAGAATGCTCATCTCCAGGGCTGGAGGGCCTGAGGTTGATCCTCTCCTACCCAGACGTGCAACCCAGAGTGAGTCCCTTCACTTCTCTGATCCTGGATTTCCTCTCCATAAACCAGAAACAAAGGCAGCCTCTGCTTAATGAAGTGGTCCACAGGACTCAGGACAAGTGTTCTCCAGCCCAGGATACAAACTCCTGGTGTCCTCTTCCTCTCCTGGCCTCTCCCACCATGCCCCAACCCTAACTCTAAACACTGGAGGGTCTAGGCTGAGGCTCAGCCCCTCCTCCTGCCCTTCATTCCATATTCTGGAACCATTGCTGGTGAGAGCGGTTACACATCTATTCTCCTTGCCCTCAGGATGACACTTGTGGAGCCTAGAGAGGCCAGAGGCTGGAGGTGGCTATTTTTCCAGGATGTTGAACAGCCTTCCTCTTTTGTGAGCCACTTCCCCTAGGCACAACCTTGTTTTATTTAGTTTTTGCTTTGGTTTTGAGACAGGTTTTCATGTAGCCTAGACTGGACTCAAATGTGTTAGGTATCTGGGATTAGCTTTGACCGTGTCTGATCCTTCTGCCTCCACCTGAACCCTGGGATTACAGAGGTGCACCACACACCTGGCCCAGTCACCACCTTCAGCTCTTCAACTCCGAGGTCCCTCCTCTAACACCAACCTGCCTCTTCCACAACCAGTGGCCTCCTCCCATTCCCCAGTCCCCTTGATGTCTGAGGTATCTCTGACTTGTCACTCACAAACAGGTGGTCCTCTACTGTCTTCCCTCCTCAGCGGGATGTCAAGTCCCTCCTTCCAGAGATGTTGACCAAAGCCTCAGTTTCACTTTCTATCTTTGGTGAGCAGGCAAGGATTCAATCAGCTCACTGCACCCCATCTAGCAGCCCACTCCTCACCCCACAGACCATGCCCCATCCAAGGACCAAGCGCCACCCAGGAGGCCACTCCCCCATCTAGCAGAGCACTCCCTGATCCAACAGCCCATGCTCCACCTAGCAGGCCTCGCCCATTCAGCAGACCACGCCCATCTAGCGGTTCATGTTCCTTAGTGGAAAATCTGCTTTGTTTTAGAACAGAACCTGACCACTTCTCTCCCTGACCCACCCTGCCTACAGCCAGGACCTCGTCTCTCCCATGGGGCACACATTAGCTTTCCTGCTGACTCCCTGTATCCACTCACTTTCACTGTCAGCTTTGGTTCTGACAGGAGGCAGCACCTAAGGTTATGACCAAAGAGGGTGGCCCCAATCCCCAGTGGTTCCTCTCCCTCCCTCCCTTCCTCCGGCTCCCTCTCTCTCTTTCTTGCTCTTTCTCCTTCCTTCTCTTTCTTTCTCTCTTTCTTTCTTTCCTTTCTTTCAGGTCTCACTGTGTCACCCAGTCTGGTTTGAATTCCTAGATTCAAGCAATCTTCCTGCCTCCCTCTGGAGTACCTGAGGTTACAGATGCATACCTCCAGACTCGGCTAAAATTCTTTTCTTTTTTCTGTTGCTGGGGATGAAAGCCAGGACTGTGCACACTCTAGGCAAGGGCTCTACAGCTGCGCTCCATCCACAGCCCCCTATCTGTTGAAGAATAAAATACTCCTTTCCACAGCAATGGAATGTATTATCCAAATCAAAACTTATCTTTTAGGTCTGGAGAGATGGCTTAGGAGTTAAGAGCACTGGCTGTTCTTGCAGAGGACCTGGGTTTGGTTCCCAGGAACCACATGGCGTCTAACAATCATCTGTAACTCCAGTTCCAGGGGATTTGACACCCTCTTCTGGCTTCCTCCAGCATTATATGCAAAGGTGCACTTACATGCAGGCAAAACACACATACACATAAAAGTAGATTAAAAAGAAACAAACAAACGTGTCTTCTATGAGAGTAATGAGGGGCGCTGTATACTAGGAAGCAGGCATAAACAGGTCATAGGTCCTCAGTCAATAAGGCGCTGTGTATGGTGGTGCCTGACTACCTACCAGCACACTACCACTCTCCCACAACCATTCTGTCCCTCATTCTGCTGTAGCTGCATTGGCCTTGCCTGCACATTCTGGCCACAGGGCTTTTGCATGTGCTTGGGAAGGTCAGTTTAGAATGCTCTTCTTCCAGATCTTCATGTGGCTTTTCCCTCCCCAACGTTCATCAGGGCTCTGTTTAAAGTCCCCTCCTCAGCCAGATATGGTGGTGCATGCCTTTAATCCTGGTACTTGGGAGGCAGAGGCAGGTGGATCTCTGTGAGTTCCAGGCCAGTTGAGACTACAAGGAGACCCTGTCTCAAAAACAAAACAAAACAAAAAAGTCACCTCCTTAGAGAAGATGTCTCTGACTACCCCACCTACATCCTTTACTCTCTGCCCCCAACCCACCTTAATTCCCCTAATCTCTCCAATATCTGCCTGAAATGATCATTTAGCACATGTTTGTCAACTGGAAATTAATGGAGGCCTTTATGAGGGTGTGGACTGCCATTCACCAGTGAGCCTCAGTCCCTATCGTAATGACCAGTGCAGTCTAGGAGGAGTTCAGCAAATACAGCAGAACAGAGTGTGTGAATAGTATGCGGCTTCCACCAGCACCCAACACTTTCCTTCATTCTATCAGGCCAGGCCTTTATTCTGAGGCAAAGGCCTCAGGCTTCCCACCTGCCAACTGGGACTGAAAATTTGAACACTGGGGAAATGTTTGCTCAAATACAGGAACCAATATTCAAAAGAAAAGAAAGCTGAGCAGGAAGACAAAAGAAAAGAAGGAAAGAAGAGAGGATCCCCAGCCCCAGAGGTCATGGGCTCCCCACTTAGTTGTTCTGACATTCTAGAATTCCGTGTTACTCACTTTCCCTCCTAGGAAGTCCTTCCTGACATCTAACTATCGTCCCTCAAACTATAGTCTATCACAGTAGGCTTCCAAGGGCTTTCAGGAGCTCTCTGACCAGTGGCACTATGAGTGAAGTGGAATAGGGACCCCTCCCCTACCCCCCTGCCCACTCTTCCAGGGTGAGATGACCCATCCCAATGTTTCCGGCCATTCAGGCCCGGAAATCCTCCTACTGCTGGGAACAAATTGTCTAGGACACTGGAATCGACCCCAGGCTTCCTCCTGCTTCCTGTCCACTTCCTTTTGGGCTCTGAGGCAGAACACAGCTTTGAGGATGCTTCCCCAGGGATCGGCCTGGCCAGGTTGTCAGACCCAGGGAGGTTGCCTGAGGCAGAATCCCAGGCCAAGGCGCCTCCCCTCCCAAGGACAGCAGCCTGCCATTTTGGACCCAACATGACTGTGTCCACCAACAACCCATGGCCATCAATGGCCTGAACATGCCACCATTTGTGGCTCTGAAGCTTGTTCACTGCCCCTCCCCCCAACAGTCCTGTTAAAATGAAGGTGAGAACACAGTTTCCCTCAGCCTTGCCCTCCAGCAGCCCGAGGGTCATGGTTCCCAACTACTCCTGGGGATGGGCTTCCCTCCTGCCATGCCCAAGCATTCCCTACGAGGGCTGTTCCAGCTAAGTTGAGCTGCTGTCAGAGGGAGCACTCACCAACAGCACACCCTCAGGGGCTTTGCCCTTCCTCTTCCCTGTGCTGTTCCCTCCAGACATCTGCTGGGAAACTAACAGGCACCCAGTACGTTGCATTTATTTGGGGTGTGTATGTGTGTGTGTGTGTGTTTGTACAATGTGTCTGTATGTGCACACACTCATGTATGTGAACGCAGGCACTCGCATGCCACAGTGTTCACTTAGAGGTCAGAGGAGAACCACAGCATTGGTCCTCTCCTTCCACCATATTCGAGACAGGGTCTCTGCTGTTTTTCCACTGTGTACACCAGGCTATCTGGCCAGCAAGCTTCCGAGGCGTCTCCTGCCTCCATCCCCCATCTACCCACAGGTACACTGGGATCATGGATATTCAGGCCCATGCATCTGTTTTTTTCATAGGCTCTGGGGATTTAAACTCAAGTCCTCACACTAGACCAGGAAGCGCTTTAATCCACTGAGCTACCTCCCCGGCTCCAGCACCCAGGCTTTTTGTTTACTTTTTTTCCCCCCCCGCAGCTCTAGGGTTCAGAACCCAGAGCCCTGTGTATATGGTAGGCAAGTGTGTGCGTGTGTGTGTGTGGTGTGTGTGGTGTGTGTGCGCGCGCGCGCGCGCGCGTGTGTGTGTGTGTGTGTGTGTGTGTGTGTGTGTGTGTGTGTACGCCTTCTGTACCAGCCTTCTCCAGACATATCTTCTCTCTTTCCTCACTCTTCCTTGTATTCCAAACTCCAAAACTTCCACCCATGAGAGTCTGCAGCCTCTGGGCCTTTGCACATGATGCTCCCTCTGCCTGGCTATCTTCTCTGCCTTATGGCAAAGGGCTAGGATGCTTCCTACCAGCCATCAGCGCTCAGTTTGCTCAGAAGATTTCTATTACACTCTCCCTCCCGTAATGATCAAATCCAGCAATCAAAGCATTTGTAAAAACTCAGTTCCAAGAATTAATTATTTTCTTATTTTATGAACTTAAAAGATATGTCTCCTCTAATATTCGTGGTGAAATCAATTAACAAGCAATAGTGACAATTGAGCTAAATCATCAGCTACATTCATTATTTAAATAACCAACCCCTTTAATTGCCTGTATTAACTGATTTGTTCTGATAACTGATACCCTATATTGCATACATCAGTTTAATTAATTGCATTAATGAGGAGTAATTAGTGTCCATTATCCTTTATTTCTTTAATGCCTGCTGAAATCAGAACTTCACTTTCAGGATCTCTGACTGGGATCAGAAAGAAGGTTGAGCTTCCCTAGGAACCCTGGAGGAGTGGAGAGGGAGGAAGCCCCTGAGCCCTCCCTTATCAGAGGCAGCCTTGACCTCTGCACGGGCCTGGACACCCTCTCTCTGCTCCCACTTCAGGACCTGGCCATATGGTCTGAAGAGA